GGAAACTTTGCCGGCCTCCAGACAACCACTTTGCCATTTACTGGCACCATTGGAACCGTCCTGGTTCAGTCAGCCCTACCCCCTGCCACATCGTACACGACAATTCCGACAGGCATCGCTGGCACCTTTATCGGTACCTCAACCATTACCTTGCCGGCCACTGGCACCTTGGGCACTGTCTTGTTGCAGACTGCCATTCCTCCCTTGTCCACGGGATACACCACCATCTTGTCTGGCATCGTTGGCACCTTCACAGGCACCCAGACCACGACTCTCCCAGTCACTGGAACCCTCGGCACTGTTGTCCTCCAGACAGCCGTACCACCAGCCACGTCCTACACGACCATCGTCACCGGCGTCTTTGGAACCTTCCTTGGAACTTCAGCAACCACCTTGCCGGCGACTGGAACAATCGGTACGGTGCTTCTTCAGACCGCAATCCCGATCTCGTACACGACTCTCCTCACCGGAGTCGCGGGCAACTTCCTCGGCACCCAGACTTCGACGATCCCGGCCGTCAGCGGTCTCGGAACCGTTCTGCTCCAGACCGCCTTGCCCACTGGATACCTCACCGTCACCAGTGGCATCACCGGTAGTTTTACCGGCACTCAGACAACCACCCTGCCGGCTGTTGGAGGGGGCCTCGGAACAGTGGTCCTCCAGACTGCCATTCCCAGCTCGGTCATTGTCTCTTACACGACCATCATCACTGGCGTCATTGGTACTTTCACCGGTACTTCTGTGACCACCCTCCCGGCCACCGGAAGCGTTGGCACCGTGTTATTGGAGACGGCCATCCGGCCCATTTCCTACGTCACCGTCACCAGCGGTGTTAGTGGCACATTTGTCGGCACGTCTACCGTTACTCTGCCCACCACCGGCGCTGGACAGAGCATCGGAACGGTCGTCCTTCAGACCGCCCTGCCCAACATCTTCTTCACGACCATCACCAGTGGGGTTGTGGGCAGCTTCACCGGCACCCAGACCGTCACCCTTCCGACCACCGGAGCCGGGCAGAGCATCGCAACTGTTGTGCTTCAGACTGCCCTCCCAGTCATCTCATACATCACTCTCCCGACGGGTGTTACTGGAACTTTCGCGGGTACGCAACTTTCAACTTTGCCAGTCACCGGCACCATCGGAACTGTACTTGCTCAGACCGCTCTGCCCTCGATCTCGTATCTCACCATTCCTACTGGCGTTACCGGAACCTTTGCGGGTACCCAATTGTCAACTTTGCCAGTCTCTGGAACTATCGGAACCGTCTTGGCGCAGACCGTTCTCCCAGTCATCTCCTACGTCACCGTCCCGACGGGAGTTACTGGCAGTTTCACAGGCACGCAATTCTCAACCTTGCCAGCAGTGGGAAGCGTGGCCACAGTATTGGCACAGACGGCTCTTCCACCCATCTCGTACACTACCGTCCCGACTGGCGTTACCGGCACATTTACAGGCACCCGCTTGTCGACGTTGCCGGCCGTTGGAAGTGTGGCTACGGTGCTGGCGCAGACTGCTCTTCCAGTTGTCTCGTACGTGACTGTTCCAACAGGAGTCACCGGCACCTTCACTGGCACGCAGTTCTCAACCCTTCCGGCTGTTGGCAGCGTTGCCACAGTCCTCGCCCAGACTGCTTTGCCTGTGGTATCATATGTTACAGTGCCTACGGGAGTCACCGGCACCTTTACCGGAACCCAGTTCTCGACCCTCCCCGCTGTCGGCAGTGTGGCCACGGTATTGGCTCAAACAGCATTGCCAGTCGTTTCCTATGTTACTGTTCCTACGGGCGTCACCGGCACCTTTACTGGAACGCAGCTGTCTACGTTGCCCGCCGTCGGAAACGTCGCGACCGTCCTCGCGCAAACGGCCTTGCCCGTGGTTTCGTACGTCACGGTACCTACGGGAGTCACCGGCACCTTCACGGGAACGCAGCTTTCTACCCTACCCGCCGTCGGAAGCGTGGCTACGGTACTCGCCCAAACAGCCTTGCCGCAGATCTTCTACACTACGGTTGCTTCAGGAGTTGCAGGCACATTCGCCGGAACCTCTCTCACTACCCTCGCGGGCACCGGAGCAACGAGAACCGTCCTGGCTCAAACTGCCGTACCGTACACGACAGTTCTCACCGGGGTTTCTGGTACCTTTACCGGAACTTCTCTGGCCACTGTCGGAAACACGGTTCTCGCCCAAACAGCTCTGCCTCAGATCTTCTACACCACCATCCCGTCAGGCGTGCCGGGCACCTTTGCCGGCACGTCTTTGGTCACTCTCGCCGGCTCTGGAGCCACTCAGACAGTTGTCGCTCAAACGGCCATTCCTTACACCACAGTCGTCACGGGAGTTACTGGAACCTTTACAGGAACTGCTTTCAGCACCATTGGAAACACGGTTCTCGCCCAAACGGCTCTGCCGCAGATTTTCTACAACACGGTGCCTACCGGAGTTCCAGGTACATTTGCCGGAACCTCTCTCACTACCCTCGCGGGCACCGGAGCAACGAGAACCGTCCTGGCTCAAACTGCCGTGCCGTACACTACAATCCTCACGGGAGTCTCGGGCACCTTTACTGGAACTTCAGTCACGACTATTGGTAACACCGTCGTTCAGCAGACGGCCATTCCTCCAATTTCTTACACTACGATTGTCACCGGTGTGACCGGCACCTTCACTGGCACTCAAGTTACCACCATCGGCAACACGGTCGTCCAACAGACCGCCCTCCCTTCAAGCACATCGTACACCACGATCCTCACGGGAGTCACCGGCGCGTTCACTGGGACGCGGACCTCGACTATTGGCAACACGGTACTGCAACAGACAGCACTCGCCTCGGCAAGTCGCGTCGTCACCAGTTCATATGCACCATCCGGTTGTGTACCGACGCCTACCGGCGCCGCCGCCCCGTCTTGTCTACCATCAACTGGATCTGCGATCACTTTGCCCTCCGCTTGCGCCAGTCTTACGGGTATCCTCTTGCAATCGTACTCTCAAGGGACACTCGATAGTTGTACTGCGGCCTTGGGCGCGACTGCCAACATTGTAGGTGTCAACGACTGTCTCAACTTGACAACTATTGGTCTTCTCGGAAGCGCTCTGGGTTACAACTCGGCAAGGTGTATCCAGACTGCTTTGTCAGGCAAGTGTCTCACCAGGCTTCCGTCAATCTGCGCCAACCTCGCGGCATCCACCCAGACCGTGGCCAATGTCCAGACCAACGCTGCTCTCTGTTTCGCCAACCTTGGAGCCTTTGGTTCTATCACCACAGCGGGCAACTGTATCATATCCAGCGTCACCAATCTAGGAGGATCGGCTGTGCTCAATTGTTTCGAACGAGCACTCGGGTTACCAGTCGGTCAAACGGTGGCTGGGTTGGCAAATTCGGTATTATGTCCTTCCAGCACAGCTTGCGCACGCCCTCCAGCAGCTTGCGGCAGTTTACTGGACATCACTCTCTCGCCTGCAGATATAGCCGCCAACATCAACCTCTGTCAGGCAGGCCTCGTCGTCAGCGCCTTGGGAAACACGGTCTCAAACGTGGCGACAGGCTTGAGCTGTACCCTTGGCTCGGTTGGAGCCGCGGTGGGCACTCTCCTTGGCGCACAAAATCTACAAACGTACGCGCAGTGTATCCAGAACTCGGTGGCCTCGCAGTGTATCACGACACTACCGCAAAGCTGTGTCAACCTGGGCGTCGACGCGACCGGTGGCGTGGCAGTGACTGTCAGCGCGCCGAACCTCATCTCCTGCGTAACTTCACTCGGCCTCTTGTCCAACGGCATCGCCTCGGATTGTTTGAACCTGTCTTTGACGGGTCCCAACATTGTGGCTTGCCTGAACTTGCGCCTCTTTGGCGTCGCTACGGTGAACGTGGCCGCCAAATAGTCCACAAAAATGCTTCTACAGCACTCTTTCCTTTCTTCTGTCGGGGTTTCCTATGTTTGAGGGCGTTGCGGAAAGAAATCACCATGAAATTGTCTACTATGGATATCTCACCTCTAGCCTTTCTTTGTTCAGAAACTCCCTGGTTTCTTCTGCGCAAGTCGCGATGCAGGACGTTTCTTAGGCGAGCACAAGACTGATAATCATGTAATATGTAATATCAATAATACCTTCCTTTATTCAACAAAACCAGAACTCCCCTAAATGACTGTGACAAGAATATGAATTGAGATGAGGGAACCTGATCATCACCTGAAAGTCGTGTCCCGGACGGGATCAACAGTGCTTGAAGGCGCCATCGAATACTATTCCATAGACCATGGCTGTGAGGTGAGAACTAATCCCGTCCTGGGTTACTCTCGGGCCTAGCTGTTTGTGGTTCTTGGTGCAACGTTCGATCGATCTCACTTCCAGGGCTTCATTGGCGACTGTTGGAAGAGATACAGGACAAACTCTGGATGGCATATCCTCTCTTCCTCATAAATAACCAAAGATAGATCTAACCTGAACGATTGAACGGAAGCGGCGAACTTGATCGAACAACAGGCCGAGTCCCCTCGAGACCCTAAAATCCGAAGCAGCCGGCAACCTGGTTGAGGCGGGAGACGGGGGACCACCGGGCCCTGGTGCAAATCCGGGTTGGCTCCCCGGCGATGTCACCCCAAAATTCCTTGCTTTGGACTCTTTGCAGCGTAGCCCCCCTCTCGGCCAGGGGTCCGCGCCCATGCAAGGTTTAATGAATTAATGAGTTAATGAGGGGGGGGTTGGGGGAGGGACTTTTTGCTTCGTCCGCTCCCGAACACCGAAGGAAGACGAAGGAGCCCAGATTTGATTGCTGGAAGCCTTGACAGAAGGAAATCAGCGTGGTGACTATGTGTTCGTATGGCAAAGCGGCGCAATCAACCCCAAGCACGCCGCTTTCTTATCTAATTAAGAGTTGGTGCTTAGCTTAGGGCGAGTTCGTGTTGGATTGATGGCTGGACTGGGCTGAGGCGTTCGTCTGGGGGCGAACATATGAGCGTTGGGCCCCCTTTCCACCGCTCATGATGCGACGCTCGCTCTAGTAGTTCCTTTGCTCTCTTCTTAACTCTGTTTGTTTATGTGTATATTCTGTCGTTGCGCTGCGAGTTGATGAAATAGTTCCTCGCCACCGCCCGCCTCCCGTGCAACGAGACTTTGTCACCTCGTTGCGTCCATTCATTCAAACCCAGCCGCTGTTTTGATTCTTGTTTCTGTCTTCAATCGCGTTACTTCCGTCATCAGGGGGCCTTTAATTGTTCGTGTCCATCCCGACGGGAGCTGGCCAAAGCACTGCGTTATCGCACCGCAACCTTGAACCACGAAAAACCTCTTTTCGCCGATCTTACCCCTAATTCCACTCGCCTCACCAAGATTTTCACGATGCTTCCTTTCTCGAACCAGCGCCGATACTCCCAGGACGACACGGGAGAACCCGACCCAGAGTCAGACCAGCTCATCCCCGCGAAGAAGCGCCGACACCGCGTCCGCGTTCAGGGCCGACTCGCCGTCGTCCGCAGCGTGTCCACAGTGAATCTGCGACCCACGCCGTCAGTGGCCCCAGAGCTGCCATCCCCAGTTGTCGGTAACGGTGCCGGGGGGGCAGCGAGTGCAAAGTTCGAGTCGGGCGTGGCTGGGAGCACAGTAGCGCCGGTACGGAGGAGGAAGAGCTTGGATGATGCGAGTAGCGACGAGGAGGAGGACGATGTCAAGGAGACTGCGGTGAGAGACCGCCAGTTTCGAGGATACGGGATTGGAGGGGCTGGGAACATTAGTAAGTTGCTGATGCCTTGTTGTCTGCGTTTGCGGCCATTTCAAATGGGAACACATCCTGACTGATCTTTCACTAGGACGACCAACAGAAGTCTACGGCTCCGCCAAATCAAGCTCGTCATCCTCTCGATTCTCCATATTCCCCTCTTCCGGGCCATCGGACGATCCAGACAGGAGGCATTGGAGCTTCAAAGACCTGTTCGCCCGGGCAAGCGACCGCAAAGGAAAAGGGACCGCTTGACCAGGCCTCGCGTCAGGTAGCACTGGATAACTGCAGCATTGCGTCTTTGGGTGGGACAACAAGAGTCACGAAAATGGCTGGGGCGTTTGGGATCTTCAAAAGGACACGGAAACATTGGCTTTGAAAAACAACGTTGATGATGGGGGAACATGCAGAATGACTATGGTCCCGCGCGCACGCGAACCAAGACATGTGAGAGTGGTCCAGCAAAGCGGACTGGATATATTGGTCGAGCCCCAATATTGCAACAACGACACGGTCGCATTCCTCGCTTACTTGTGCATCATGCCGCGCGCGCGGCCTTTTACTGTTCGCCGACGCCGATGCAATGTTGATCAACGAACTTCATCAACTCATTCTCTATCACCGTCTGAGTTGACTTTATGCGCTCCCAAGTGGATCAACAATCATTTGCCGCCCAATGCCCTGGTTCTATTTCTATTATTCCCCATATTCCTGTCCTTCCTACTATCCCTATTGTTACCACTCCCTGTGATCTTCTGCGCATTCCATGGAGAACACCCTTTAAACAAAAATAGCAAGGTAATGGTATTGATCTTGCGTTGACAAGCATCCTACTTCGTCATCCACTTGGCTTCGTACCTCGTGAGACAGAAGTGAGTGTGCGAAGAGACGGTAATGGCCTCTGGTCCAATCTCCAAGACATAAAGCCGCGCGAACGAACACAAGTCAAGCTGCCCTGCTGTCACTGCTCTCACTGTTTGCCGCACAGGTCTTGACCATTCGCTCGCAAGTGCCCCATCGGTGGCTCACATTGTCTGTTGAATGATTGATAATCCATCAAATTACCAAGACCGCCAATGAGACGCCCGCAAGTGGCAGGATATCAGAGTGTCAGCTTACATGCAGGCGCCATCTTCCTGCTCTAGGTACTCTACTCTTCTTCAAGAACTCGTTTTGCAAGACCGATGAACGTGTAAGGCGTGTAGAAGGCAGCAGGCTGGTGTCGAGCATCTTTCCTCTTTCGATGTGTGACCTACCAGTACAACTGCCAACACATCTCGAGTGTGAACCCGCCCTCAAGGTGTGAAGACGAACCGCGCGTCAACCCCACCATCAGAAATGAACATTGCTCTGTGATACAACCGCAGCACTGGGCACTCATTGCGTCAGGCCTTTCCATCCTTACGCCAGTCACCAGTGGAATCGATAGCAGTTTTACCTGGTAGCCGATCACCTTAGGAAGCCAAGAGCATTCTCATCCTGGGGACTTTTCCGGTGATGACCCAAAGCTCGGCACTCAGATGGCCGCGAGCCTGAAACTAAAGATCGAGGCCTGCTTGTAGACTTACATCATCAACGATATTAGCACCTTTAGCCTCAACCCACGGCCGCACTAGCTTGTTCGTTCTAGACGTCGCGCTGACGGGCTGAGACTTATCTGCAAGGACCCTGATCCTGCAGTGTCCTTTTTCAACGCGCTGTACAGAGATGGCCGGCAACGATAACCAGAGTATGACACCAATGAGCTTCACTACCGCCGGTAAACCCTACAACAATCCCGTTCGACGCCTCTCCACATGGACACATAGGTTGTACGGCATCTCACAATGACTCGCTGCCTTACGATACAGCTGTACGATATACGACTAGTGCATTTTGACTGGCTCTTTGACAGCTCCATACAACAAACTTGAGGTTAAGAGACAGGCTGGACACGGCCGTTTGGCGGACTAAAATCTGCTGTCAGATTTCCCTTTCGCAATACGGCCCGATGCAGCCTTGTATGCAGTGAACCCGGCGACTATTCGACGTAACGGCGCGCGTACGGATGGGAGTCTCACCGAGACGAGTGACGGCATTATTGCAGGCCTGGGTTAAAGCTCCCCGCGCTCTGCGTCGTCTCTAGGTATCCCTCTTGTCCATATATATCAACGGATGCTACTGCTCATATCCATGGCTCCCTCCTCTCACTCTTTGAAGTAACAATTTGTTTATCTTCACGCACAGCAGTCATTTTTGATAACCCTCTACACGAGACAAATCATCCGAAACCATGACGCTATCAGGAGACTCTGTAGCTCAGGCTGCCGAAGCATCGGCCAACAACGGTGTCAGCGATGGCAACAAGAAGCGCCCTTACCTTCTCTTCTGCGCGGCGCCTGCAACAGGACACACGTATCCCCTCCTTCAGGTCGCCGATGAGATGATTCAACGCGGCTTCGAGGGTACATTCATTGCCGGCGAAGAGTTCCACCCTCAGGTCAAGCGCATCGGCGCCCAGCACGTTGCGATCCCGCCCATGCTGGACCCTGAGATGGAAGCTATTCGCGAAAAGGTCCCCGTTGGCATCCCTCGTCTCATGTTCGACCTCAGCAACGTCTTCATCAGGTCTGTTACACCTCACTTCCATGTCCTGATGGAGACGCTCGAGAAGATCCGTGTCGAGCACCCCAACAAGCAAGTTGTCATCGTCCACGAGACGTTCTACATGGGCCTTGCTCCGATGATGTACGGCACACCTTTGCCCAAGGGGTACACCACAAGACCGCCCGTTGTCGACATTAACATTGTCCCCGTCGTGACCACGAGCATCGACACCGCGCCGTTCGGGCCCGGTCTTCCTCCTGACTCAACCGAGTCAGGCCGGGGCCGCAACAAGCTCCTCAACGAGATGTTCTTCAGCCCGATGGGTCCCTTTGGTGCGGCAGCAAAGGAGTACAACGACGTTGTCAAGTCGCTCGGCGGTACACGCGAGTTGCCGCCTGCCTTGTTCGAATCATGGCAGACCAGCTATGACGTTACCCTGCAAATGTGCTCGCCCAGCCTCGAATACCCCAGATCGGATCTCCCCGACGCCATCAAGTACGCGGGATGTCTGCCGCCTAAGCCCATCGACCCGAATTACAAGTACCCAGAATGGTGGGCCGAGATCACGGCCGGGAACAAGAAGATTGTGGGAGTTGCACAGGGCACCATCGCCACCAACTACACGGATCTCATCATCCCTACGATACAAGGCCTAGCTCACCGCGACGACATCATCCTCGTCGCCATCCTGGGTGTCAAGGGCGCCACTTTGCCCGAGGAACTTACGATTCCGGCCAACACAAAGGTCATCGACTTCCTCTCGTACGACGCTCTGCTCAAGCACGCAGATGTTTGGGTTCTCAATGCCGGGTATGGAGGGTTCCTGCATGGCGTCGTTAATGGCGTGCCTATGGTGCTTGGAGGGGATACGGAAGACAAGCCCGAGATTGCTATGCGAGGTCAGTGGACAGGAATTGCTTTCAACCTCAAGACTGGTCGCCCTACATCAGAGCAGGTTGCTGAGGGAGTCGATGAGGTGCTTGCCAACGACAAGTACAAGAAGCGGGTGATGGAGATCAAGAAGGAGAATGAGGACATGAAGGCCCTTGACTGCGTAGAGAAGCACATCTGGGATTACGCAGATTCGGCATAGAGGGTGGCATTTCGTGTTTTTTTAGCGACGCAAGTAAGAATAAAGCGAAGTCATTTCTCTAAACGCTGGAAACATCTAATCGTTTGGGCCGACATACTTGTTCCCGATGCTCTCTGTCTCTCTCTCTCTCTCTCTCTCTCTCTCTTTCTCCATTAATAACACCTCTGCCGCTCTCTTTCTCTTTTGCAGCATGATACGAGGGTGAATATACTACGGTTATCATAACAGTAGGAGCTCTGGGAGAGGTGAGTGCTCCTTCATCACTCCGCAAGCATCTTCACAAGCAATTCGCATGCATAGCTATAGTACGTGACTTCGAATTGAGAGGGAAAGACGGAATGCAAGACAATCCAATCAAAAACGGTTGCTACCAGACCGAAGCTGCATCCTGCAGGAGGCCACCAGGGCCGCCTTGGATGACCAAAGAAACCTTCAAGGTTGAAGACTATATGTAAGCTTTCGCCAGCAGAGTTATATGTATCTCCGAATCACGTAGCACTCAAAGGCATACCGGAGAAAGCTCCTGGCAATTGATAGAAGACAACAACTTCCCACCTCCCAAATCCTCATCTCCTTCTCATCATACAAACACCACACCATTCGAGATCCCAATCTTTCCCCAACAACCTTGCAACCATCACAAAGCCTAGAGTACTTCTATTACAGCACTCACTCACCACAATGTCGCTCCGCCAGAATCTCATCAAGCCCATGGTGGTCGATGCCAACGAAGGCCACCACCACACTCACACCGTCGTCTTTCTCCATCGCTTCCCCGAATCTACCACCGAGAAGCAGCTTCGTGGAAAGGTACTGTCTGAGAAGCTGACCATGAACCACAAGACCCTCCGCGAACAGTTTCCTTCAGTCCGCTGGGTCTTCCCCTACGCCAAAGCCCATGCGCGTCCCTGGAACAACCTCACGCCCGAAGACAGGGCCACAGTCGCAATGAAAAACGGCAGTCTCCCTTACATCACGCAAATCATGCTCCAGGAATCGGATAAAGTTGGTGGTCTCGATCGTATCATCCTCGGCGGAATGGGACAGACTGCCGAGGCAGCTCACGATGCCATGACTTCCTTTCCCGAATGTAAGATGGACGCCTACGATAATGCCGACGAGATGTCATCGTTCCTTCAGAAGACCTTTCACGCCGACTGCACAGAACTCGAACAGCTGAGGCTCGCTGGATTCGTGGGTATGCACGCCCAGAACCCCGAGATAACATCCGATGTCAAGAGCAGGGCCATCTTGTCCAAGGAAGTTTCCACCATGAAGAAGAAAATCAACGCTACCCTCGTTGCGCAGACCCCTCACAAATTCATTAATGGCGGCTACAAGGTGCACACCAAAACCTGGGACGGCAGCCGTATCGACGACTTCGCCAGCTTCCTCGTAGCTATCGGCGTAGAACGTGGTCTCGATGCCAGGAAGGAGAGCACCGAGACCCTCATTCCCAAGAACCGAGACCCGATCAAGAAGTGGGATCCCCGGGATACCCTCAGCGACGCCCAGAGATACGCCCAAGAGATCCTGGACCAGAAGAAGGAAAACGAGGAGATCAAGCGCAAGCTTCTCATCCGCATCGAGGCTGACAAGGTCGAGCGCAAGATCAAAGACGCGCGCGAGAAGGCGAGCCGAGGCAAGGTCAACTGCAAGAATAACTGGCTGAAGCCAGCGGATTCTGTCAATGTTCTTGGCGGTGTTGCATACCGCAACAAACTTTCTCAGGAAGAGCAAGTGGACGAGGCCAAGGTACAAATGCCTTCATCCTGGCGCAAGTCAAGAGAGCCTGACAATGAGCAATCCAGTAGTAACGCTTTCGGCTCCACCCGAAACATTCAAACCATTGTTCCCAAGATGGAGTTCAACGACAAGAAGATTCATCCGAAGAAGAAGCCTCGTCGCAAGGACAACAAGCCCCAGGGACGACGTCTGGGATTTTCGTCGGAGCAAATCAATTGAGATTAAGTGAATACGTGAGCGTTCCGCTGAGCCTACAAGGGAAATGACCGACAAGGAAGACTCGGGGTGAGAACTACGTACTGGCAACTGGGGCGGGTGGGCTGACACCAATACCTAAGACTTAAGAAGAGGGGTGGACAAGAAGATCCGTGGACTCGGTGCCGGTAACTTGGCATGGCGAGCTTGCTTTGATTAACGACAAAAAAGATCCACTGGCATTCAAAATGGTCTTTCGTGATGCCTAAAGAAAAATGGCAATGCCAGAATCCGCGCTGGATTCGACTAGAGAAAGGACACGACAACAAACTCCCCCTGTGAGATTGAAGTCCTCGCAGCTACATAAACTCAACTAACGGCTTCTTTTAGTCTTTGACACCTTCAATGAGATTCTTGATTCCTTCGCCTTTTGCAGTCTTGTCCCAAGCCAAGGTGGCTATCTCAAAAGGTGTCACACTCGACAGCATCGCTTTGGGCTTCACCTTGCCCTCTGTAATGAGCGACAAAGCCAGATTGTAATCGCCAGGTCCGTATCGGAAACATCCCCGGACTCTGAGTTCCTTTTCGGACAAGACCAGCATGGGAACTTCAGGCTTGGCTTTGCCCAACCCAGCCTGTACGTAGCTCCCGCCGGCCTTGAGTAGAAAGATCCCCGTCTGGATCGACGACTGTGCTCCCGAAGCCTCAATGACAACGTCCACCCCATCGGCGATGCCTACTGTCTTCAATAGCTTCGCGGCAACATCTTCACTCGTTGTCCCAGGCTCAACTAAGAATGTCTGACAGTCGAGGAAGGTGTGCGCGAAGTCCAGCTTGGCCTGTATGATATCGACCAAGATGACGCGACGGGCGCCAAAAGCTTTGGCTACGGCTGCGCAGAGCAATCCAATCGTCCCACACCCCGTTACGACGACATCTTGACCGTACTTGATCTCAGCTAGACGCGTTGCATGGACGGCCACGGAGGTAGGTTCCACAAGGACCGCCTCCTGGAGGCTCACCTCGTCGGGAACCTTGTAGACAAAATCCTCCGGTACGATGAAGTACTTTGTCAAGGCACCGTGAGAGTCCGGCGGATCTGCGCAGAATACCATCCTGATACACAAGTTATAATGGCCGTCTTTACATTTCTTGCAACGCCGGCATGGGAATCCGGGCTCGATGGCTACGCTGTCGCCTACTTTGACGGATGTCACCTCGGAGCCGACTGCGTCAATGGTGCCGGAGGCTTCATGGCCCATGACGATTGGCTTCTCGTTGCTGACTTTGCGCTGGAATCCTCCCTCTTTCCAAAAGTGCACCTGGTAGATCGGTCAATATCTGATCAGTTGGGATAAAGTGATGGTAGACATACATCGCTGCCGCAAACACCGACATACCGGATCCTAACAACTACGTCAAGTTCGTTCTTGAGAGTAGGAGTAGGCCTGTCCACGATCTTGGCGGAGCCTGGGCCATATAGAAACCAGGATGGGTTTTGCATTCCCGCGGTCGCCATCTTGCGTATGAATTTGTAACGGGCTGATGCAAGATGTAATGTTTTCTAGGTAATAAGGCAAGGTAGTGTGCTAAAAGACGATGGTTTCGACGTCACTTCTAAAAATCATGAAGACTTTAAAGTGATTTATATCAAAAAGTTGTGTTCCTTTAGGATCTGATTTGCACAAAAGTATTTACTCTAGGTATGAAAGGCGTTTCTCCTCATTGCAAGTGCTTTAGTGCCATCGGCCGAGTGTCGTCCGAGGCAGCCATCAATTAGTGACGTATCGCCTTGTCACAGGTGCGATCGAACATGCTACATCTCACCTCACGTCACGAATGTGGCTTTAGGTAGTCTTTGGAAGAACATCAACCTGATGATCATCAAACGCCGGAGTTAGGTAGGTGACTGCCCCAAAATCACGACACGGCCCGTGTAAACAGTTGTAAACCGTGACAAATTTAAGAATAAAACGAGGGTTCCAGCGAGACCGAGTGACCCCTCACGCCCCAACGGGCCATGTCACGCCGTCATGCAGCAAGCCACTTTGGTGCTTCCAACAGCTGCTAACATTTGCGATGTGGATTTGGAGATGGGGGCTGTCAGGGAGGGGTAATCTGACACGGCCCGTCGGGTCTCGATGACTTCTCGATGCAATTGGTCGTGATCGATGCGTTGGACGTGTCCATCGACCAACATAATGCAGGCGACGGCGGGCCGTCTTCTTTCGGTTTCGGCAATCAGATTCCAGGATCCTGCATGAAGCTCAAAAGTTTGAAGCCGATCGCCAGAGCTACCTTGGTGCGGACTAATGTTGTCCGGTCGTGCTCGGCTGTCATTTAAAGCCCAACATCGTCGTTCTAGTCTGTCGTGGAGTTAATGCTGGCTTAAACGGCGCAGGCCTGGTTCCAAAGGGATAAACTCACCATGGCGAAGAACGACTACACCATCAAGCTTCCTATTTTGAGGGAGCCTACTTCAAAGACACCCGAAAACGCACGAGAAATCGTCAAGAATTGGATACAGGCTTTTGAGAAAGTGCTCGCCAACAACGTACAAGACAGCCTCTCGACCGTGTTCCGCGAAGATGCCTGGATACGGGACTTTCTCAGCCTCTCATGGGACTTTCGAACCATCAATGGACTCGATGAAATCACGGCCTTTTTCAAAGAAAACCAACCTCTGGCTAGTCTCCGCCAGATCGTGCCCCGAGAAAAGGGCGCTTTCCAGCCGTCTTTTGGGGACCCGGCGCCAGGTGTTCATTGGGTGGAGAGCATGTTCGACTTTGAGTCCGATGTCGGCCGTGGTAAGGGTATGGTGAGACTGGCGTTGGAAGCGGATGACACCTGGAAAGCCTTCATGATCAACTTTACTCTACTGGAACTGAAGGGCTTCGAGGAGAAGGTGGGAGTGGACAGGCCTACCGGCCATGTCGATCCCAAAGGTGGCAACTGGAAGGAAAGGCGCGAAAAGCAGATGGAATTTATCGATGAGGACCCTACAGTTCTGGTCATCGGCGCTGGTGAGTTGCATCCGATGCTGGTGGTGATGAGTTGCTGACCTGTATTTGATAGGACATGCTGGGCTCAACATTGGCGTTCGGCTACGAAATCTTGGTCTCCCGACTTTGCTGATAGATCGCAACGAGAATGTCGGAGACAGTTGGCGCAAGCGATACAGAGTCAGTCTTTCTGATGAGTACACTAAGAGTTTTAATATGTGAGATGAGCCGAACGCTGACCTTGAAATTCATCTCAATTGCAGACTCTCATGACCCATGATCCGATCCAGTACTGCCATCTCCCCTTCATCCCATTTCCCGGAAATTGGCCCCAGTTCATGCCCAAAGACAAATTGGCAGATTGGCTGGAATCCTACGCAAAGATGATGGAACTCAACATCTGGACCAGCACCAACATCGAAGGGACAAGCTACAACGAGCAAGAAAAGACCTGGACCGTCAAACTTCGTCGGGCAGACGGCAACCTCCGCACCCTCAAGCCTCGACACATCGTTCTGGCAACTGGCCAGGCTGGCGATCCCATCACTCCCACATTCCAGGGACAGGACGACTTCAAAGGCGTTGTATACCACGGAAGCCAGCACCAAGATGCCTCCCTCGTCGACAACCTCTCTAATAAGAAAGTCCTCGTCGTAGGCTCCGGCAACTCGAGTCACGACATCTGCCAGAACTTTTACGAAAACGGCGCAGCACAGGTGACGATGATTCAGAGGGGCGGCACCTATGTCATTACAGCGAACAAGGGAATCTTCGTCATGCACAAAGGCATGTACGAAGAAGGCGGCCCACCAACCGAAGACTGCGATATCGTTGCGCAGAGCATTCCGATTCCCGTGCAATTCGCGCTGAATACGCACGGTATCAAGGCCATCACCGCAGTCGACCAGGAGCTGTTGGACGGTCTGAGTAAGGCGGGCTTCAAGCTCGACTTTGGGCCAGATGGAAGCGGGATCTACCGCAAGTACATCACTCGCGGCGGAGGATACTACATTGATGTTGGGTGCAGTCAGCTGATTGTCGACGGCAAGGTGAAAGTTCACCATAGCCCTAAGGGAATAACTGGCTTCACACCCACAGGTCTGGCGCTGGCGGACGGCACGACTTTGGATGCCGACATTGTTGTGCTGGCGACGGGATACGATGGTATGAGGTCGAGCACACGTAACATTCTGGGAGACAAGGTGGCAGACCGGGTTAAGGAGTGCTGGGATCTTGATGAGCAGGGTGAAATCAATTCTGTGAGTTTTCATATGGTCGATACAAATGTGGACACTAAGTTAATATCGGGCAGATCTGGAGAAGCAGTGGTCATCCTCGGTTTTACTATATGGGTGGGAATCTCGCTCTGTGTCGCTCTTATTCGCGTCTCTTGGCACTCCAAATCAAGGCTGCGGAAGAGGGTCTTTTTGTTTAGGCGTAGAGCATGAAAAGGGTCGGGATGAACTCAGTATTTATACATAGGCAAAGACCAGGCTAAGTAGACGGTTGATCCCTTCATGTCTCGATCGCCCATACTCGCAAAGCCTCGTAAATATCGAGTGACAGATACTGTAGATCCCAAAACTCACCCGGAAGCGCCTTCAACCCACCGACCCCTCCGTATCCCTCAGTACCAGCAGCCGCCTCAAGCACTTTCAGCAGCTGTCTCGCAAGCGGCCACCTCTGCCCGCAGATTCTGAGTCCGTAGATCAGAAGCCACACCTTGTTCGGCGGACCCAGGCCCAACACACGGTCATATATAATGTTGAAGCGTGCCGCGACAAAGACGCAGTGGATGATATGAGGGTTCGCCGTCTCGAGCATGTCATCGCCCGCACCGCGTATGACCTTGATCATCTCATCGCAGCTATTCAAGCAGCGCTCCGCGGCATCTTTCCAGGAGTGCTCGCTCCCAGTGTCATCGTCGGGGAATATGAGTCGTTGATGGAGGGAGACGACGGCGCTGTGGACAGTGCAATGGATGAGGATTGTGTTTGGATGGTGGGATGCAGCTGCAGCACCGTCAAATAGGTCGGTATAGGGTGGTGTCCGCACTGTCAGCATCTGCTCAAAGTCTCTATGCCATGCCATCAACCTTTCGGAAAGGATGGTGCAGTCCAGCTTTCGCTGTTGCAGATCCGATACCGATGTCGTGTCACACGGCTGTTGAAGGAACTGATGCACATGTCACATCTCATTTATCGCGAGCCGGACAAAGAGGGTGAAGGATGACGGTGCTTCCGAGTCGCCAAACTGGTACATGGATACGATGGACTCGGGACACCGCCATATTTCTTCGTCGCACGGAAGACTGGCTGTTGGTAGCGGCTGGGAGACGGAGAGATGCCAGGCAGATCCGACGGTTGACGCCGAATCCAGGGCCTCAATGGTCCAAAAGGCGCGGATCTTCTCTTCTTGCTCGACGGCTGTGGCCGGTAGTGCAAGCATGCGGGAGGGGATCACGGATGGGAAGCCGTAGTTCATGCAGTTGTGTGCTACCAGATCGCGGAGGCCTAATTGCGTGCTCGTTCTGGAGTTGGGAGTATTAGCAAGTTTCGCGGCATTGGGGTACTTGTGATTCTGGGCGGCTACCTTTTGCATAGGGAAATGAGGTTATAAAACTCAACCATTCTCCCGCTTCCGTACTCGACGATGGCAAGGATAAGTAGGGCTTGTAGTGTGTGAAGAGATAGGTGATGGATCGCATGTAGTAGGATCTGGTCTTCTAAGAGTCGCCGCCTGCCCTGTTCTCCGCTACGTTCGGTGTCATCTCCATGAGCGGCTCCTCTATCTGTGGAAGTGACGACGGCGGTGATTGCTTCGAGCGCAACAGTGACCGGAGTTTCATGCTGCCCTGAGTACTTTTGGCATGCTTCCATCATGGTCGGCTCGTGTAGTATGGGAAACCATGAGTGGTGTTTCTGGAACCAAAGATTGCAGGCTTCGGTGACTTTATCCTGTGATCTTCCATTGATAGAGCAGCTTGGAGACGTTGCCGCGACACTACTACCCAGAACCGGTCCGTTCGATATCGAGAGCTGTGAACTAAGTCCAGTTGCTCTGGGCAGCGCTGAAAGTCTCGAGACTGTTTCTGCTCCAGCCCCAGCCATCAGATATCTAGACCCATGTGGATCAATATTACCCTTGAAAGCTTGAAACTCTCTCTCGAGGCAATCCAGACGCTTTTCTAGGTTCTCGACATAGCCTGCCCTCAATCCCGGCGTCTTTCGGGCGGTGCTGTATTCGCACTGCAAGCCGCCCTTGGAGCAGAATCCGCATTCAGGTTTGATGCGATCGCATCGAACTTTGCGGTGTCTGCAAACCAAACACCTATTCATAATTTAGTTAGTAAAGTCCGTGTCAAGATTTGGCTGTTCTCTGTTGAGCCGAGGGGAAGAGAAGCGCTCACGGTGTCTGACTAGGGTTGGGTGCTCTCGGAGATGGAGCCATCTTGGTGTTTCTATTTTTTCAACTTTTTTCTCAATCTTTGTTTAGGAATTCCTATGGAGACACATCAATCAAGACATAAGAGACATAGATGTTTCCTCTTGTGCAGGTAAATGACGATCATTGAAGTAGATACGGCATAACGGCCACCTTTTGGCGTGAGATTTCTCCGCACCGGGCCCTGCGCCGATGCGGGGCTGGTGGGATACTCTAACAATGGCCGGCTCAGCGTCATGCCTTTCCTGTCATCCAAGTATTTATTTCGGAATATGCCCCCGGAAGAGACAAGAAGCAGAGATACTATTGTCAGTGAGTGAGTGCGGAAGAGAGAGGGAGAGCAGCTGTGATGCGAATGATTTGGTATCTTCATTATATGACATTCCGGCCCGCTGCCTCAACTGCCAATCTCTCTACCTCGCCTTATAAGTCATTTTATAAACGACGGTAACGGTTACCGGTTCTTTTCCTTCTGATTTGAGACTTCCTATACTTCAAACATTGAGACATCCCAACCGGATTTCGCCACCTTTCGCGAAGTAGACGCCAACGATTGCCCATCAAATGTTTCCAGCAAAACCACCATGCGCAGCAAAGCGCTGCTGATAGTCGCGCAGATGAGCCCAGTTACGCATCTCCTCTTCTTCATCCTGCGGAGTCATGTTCTCTCCGGCCATGTTGCTGCCGCTTGGGCCAGTTCCTTCAAGCTTAAGAAGGACGTCGATGAGCTTCACAAGCGCTTCCTCCGACTTCATAGCCACCGGGCCTTTCCGCTCCGGGGCGTCGTTTAGGAGAGTCGAAGCAACCTGTCGAACTTTGTTAATCAGCGAACCGCCGTTAGGTTCGAGGTTGCGTTGTGAGATGGAGCCCAGCACGTGGAGGAGGTTTTGCACAATCAGCTCCCGCTCTGCCGTCATCAACTCAAAGACGCGAGCAGCCTCTGCATCCTCAGCTCCCTTAGCAACTTGTTCCTCAGCGCTATCCCCAACTTGCTCTTCTTTGTTGGGGTCGGACATGTGGACGTCACGCAAGTTGAAGAATAGCTCGACATAGAACGAGCGCGTGGCCAGTTGAGAGATGTAGATGTTAGCCTTCTGTATCTCGTACTGAAGCTGCCGCCGTCGTTGGGGGTGATTCTTGATCACGTTTCGAACATCGTTAGGAGGCTGGCTACTGGGGTAAGCGGGAGGTACGTATTGGAGATCGGCATCTTCGAGGGTGCCGAACCCGCTCGACTGCTCGTGAGAAGCACTGAGCTGAAGTTCGGGGGGAAGCCGGTCAATGATGTCCTTGGCGGCGATGAGGGCGTCTCTCAGCAGCGACCTTTGATCGGACCACGGAAGGGTGCTCATCCCATAAACGAGCTCAACGCTGACAATGGCGTTCATGGTAGTATAAATGTCGACGGCAAATCGGAAACCAGTGAGAAGTGTGACAGAGCTTTCCGGCGGATACACGATTTCGTTGGCCATGATGTAAAGGTCATCGACATTTTCGGGCAGGGCAGGATACGGCAGTCCGGGAGTCGACGGGGCGATGACCAAGTCAGCATGGGAAGCGCCTAGTTGTGAGAAGGACCTGCATAATGTATGAGGTTACATAGATTCCAAGACAGCGATTGAGAAGCTTACCTAACGCCGAGAAGAAGACACCAAAAGATACGCTTGCCGATTTGGTCCTTGATATGGTGGAATGGTAAAGGATCAGGCGAGCAGTTATCGTTGCCGAAGGTGGGAAGCTCATTAGGATGTTTGGGCCGGTGAAAGCCAAGCTCCCGAATGAGAGACAGACACTCAGACATGAAGTAGCGGAACCGGGGCACTTGGAAAGTGTAGCCTGCCGCAAGCCCGAGGAAGTAGCTGGTAGCCGCATCATCCAACGTCTTTTGCTTCAATGCCCATCGCGGACCCCGCGTATCGAGGGCAATATCTCGACACCTCTCAATCATGACTATCGCTCTCGGGAAAAGGTGGGTGCTGTGTTGGGTCTTGAGATGCTGCCTTGCACTCCGGGGGAACGAAGACACCAGAGAGGCTATCATGGATGACAGAAGACCAAGAAACTCGGGGTTCGTCCTATCCTCTCTGTTTGCGAAGGAGTGTCTGAAAGTCGGTTCGTGAGGGAACGGAGCGAGCGGGTGGATATAGGTGAAGAAGTCGTCGATTAAGAGCTCGAGGATAGGTAGAGGTGCGATGGCCTCTGCATCCAAACGGCCCGGTCCTTCTGCTATGGAAACGAGAGCCTGTGCAGCGTTGTGCGGCGAAGGTGAGGGTGTAACGGCAGCGCCATATGAGGTGAAGGCAGCCGTGGTGGGCGAGCCACCCATGCCAGGCTCGATTCTCTGCCTTCGAGCGGCTCTGGCAGCCTCGGCGTGCTTGTTCGGAGGTCCTCGCCTTTTCAGCTCTCGGTTGAAGGTGCATTCGACGTTGAGTTCGGAGCATGGTCTACACGGCGGACCGGCCTCATCGCACTTAACCTTACGTTGGGAGCACATGTCGCAAGCGCGTCGAAGGCGGGTCAGCTTCGGGTTGACTGTCGGGTCTCGTGGCATCGGCGGCATCGGGGCGAAGGCGTGAGGGAAGGCGGACATGGCGCTCTGTGACACGGCACCGAGAGAGCCATCGGTGGCCAGTGGAGGTGCAGGCGGGGCGCCTGCGACTGTCGAGGCATGAGAAGCATGTGGCGGAAGCTGGTGAGATGGCGCTTGGGACGGAGTGTGTGGAGGAAGCGGCGGCTGGTGGTGATGTGGTTGATGCTGGACTTGGTCCTGCTCGACGGCCGAGGGCATCGACAGCTGTTCTTGCTCCTGCTGCTGCTGCTGCTGTTCCTCAATAGGCTGAGACTCGTGTTGTTGCTGTTGCTGTAGCTGCTGCTCATCGGCGGCAGCGGCTGCAACAGTACTTAGATGATGCTGGACATTCTGAATAGCCGCTGCAGCTGCCGCATCCGAAGCAGCTTGGAGGACCTGGAGTCCATTGCTGGCATAGGCGTGGGCGGTGGCTTGCTGAGAGGCAGTTGGCGATGCAGGGGGATCGGATTGAGGGTCGGGCTGATGATCCGCCTCCTGCTGCTGCTCCTCTGGCTGAGGTTCCTGATCGGCCAACGTAGATGACATCTCGAAAAAGAGAGAGCAGGGCCCGGCGATGGCACCCTTGGTCTTATCCCTCCTAAGACGATGGGCGGTGCTGAGTGGGAATGGCTGATTGTCGGAGAAGCTCCGGCTGCGATTCGGGACGGCCTGTCTGAGTGCTTGTCCAAAGTGGGTGTGCGGAGGTTCTGGTGTTGCGCCGAGTCGAGGCAGCAGGGCGGTGAGCCATGCTGGAAAAGTGGTGAGATTTTCGCACTGTGACAGTCGGCCAGGGTTTGTGGGGAAATGCACGTGAAAATGTGTGTGGGGCTGATGGTTAAGCGAGGGTTCTCACACGGCTCAAATTCTGCCAATCTAAAGAAGACTAGCGCCACCAGTCCTGTGCCCCACTCTCATCCTGGGAACCCGGAGGGCCAGGGAAAGAGGAAGGTGCATGCCGACTCTTGTGCAAGAGAGGTCGGACTGTCAATGATTATGATATATCGCACTCTTACGCTAAGGGACTTTACATCAAGACGCTGCATCACTCATTTCGTGGTAGAACAGCCGCTTGTGTTGCCCTGAGATGGTGCTCACTCTTGCAACCATGCGACCTAGATAGCAAGTATGAATTAATCAATGCGTTTGTAAACACAACCTTAGTTCCCTTCAAGATCGTTATTACTCTCCTCATCATTACTCTCATTAAGGATAATGTTTTTAAAAACGATCTCTATATTGCCATCTTTCTCATTACTAATTTCTCAAGGTACTTCCAGTAAATTCTTTACAGAATACATGTAAAGAATTAACAAAATAAAGGATACTTAGAGTCAATAAAATAGAAGTCAAGCTAGGGTAAGGGACTAGTAGTGGTAGTAGTGTGAGGAATAGAAATCCAAGGATCTGTATTTGAAGATCAAGTGGTATATCACTAAAATGGCCAGTTTGATAGGTGAAATCTCAAGCCAACTCAATGCTGAGTGAGCATTCCGATTATACTATCTACATTAGCAGGTTCTGTGAAGTTTCGCTCTCATCCGCAAGCCTCTTTCTCATCGAGATTCTACTAGGCCTTGATGGTGGGCTTTTTTAAATAAGAGGGTATCGTACCTTGGAGTTTCTCCTACTGTTTTTATAAAATTGACAAAGCGCTATAGTGATATGATACGATCAATGGCGGAAAGGTTGACGCTTAACATCCCGAAGTACGCCATTATCTAACCCAGTCGCAACATAATCAGGTCTATGAGATTGAGTCAATGTTTCAAACAGAAGTTGACACAGTACTCGACGTCACTGCTTGATCACATTCTCCAACATTATACAGAGCGGATTCTGGACATGCTGAGATAAAGCGTGACGAAACTCGAGAAATCTGTGCCTTGCATGGGAGACGAAAACGATGAAGCTGGGTTCATAACTATCACCCCAGATCATCGTGCATCAGCCGTCACCCGTCGTTTGAAGCGTCAATGTTATTTTGGAAAGTTTGAAACTCGCCAAGGTCATCAAATGTGACAGCGGGGTCAGACATTCCGATCTCTTCTCCTAAAAGTCACATCAGAGGCATTATCTAAGTGCTGCTTACTTTGGAAAACAGAACATTTGCGGTATACCGTTCAGCGACCAGTCCCATACTGGCAAGTCACATCCAAGCAACGCTCCATCCTCACATCATGGTTGGGCCACCGGGGCGAAATCAATATGAGATCTCGTGGGAAGGTTATTGAGGTTGGATCAAAGACATTTATCCTATAGTCACATACCGTTTACCCCTCTTCGACTCCCCGGACATGACTGGTCAGCGCGACTTCACTCGTGGCTCATTTCGGATCGTGTGTGGTGGAATGATTTATGCTTGCCTCGGATCCCTGTTGGGGCTAATATAAATGCCGGCCTTTCAGGAGAATTACCCCAGACTAGGGTATCATCCCGGTCCAAGTATGGCAAGTGCTTCCTCCCACATGAAAACATCAACGGCGCGTATTCTGAAAGTTAAAGCCGGGATTTCACCGCCGAGCCGAGACCAAAGTTACTGAGCGCGTGAAAGATGCGCCGGCGCGCTCGCGACGGCATCATGGCCAGATCTCAATCTGAACGGGAAGAGGGAACTGGCCAAATGCAGAACTTCATTAAAAGTTTTGTTATTAGATCTCGTTGCGTTGACGGCGCTGATTATTGCACCTGAGTATTGTGCCTTGCTGTAGGGCATACTTAGGCTAAGGGTTATCCTGGTTTGGGAACTTCGGAGGAGGGGCTACAAGTATGGACTCTTGGCTAGGTTCCAGGTTGCTTCCGGCTCAGAGTTCTCTTCCCTTGGGCGAACGACCATCATCTACCTTACTCCCGTATCATCCGCGGGGCTTCTTCCGAAGCACCTTCTCGGATGTCCTGACCGCTAAACGCGCTCTTACCAGACAGCGGCAGGCCTAAGACGATCTAGACCTTGTTTTCCGTCATCAGCACTGGCAACATGAAGCCCCAAGACATGCAAGCCTACCAAGAGCCTTGGCAAAGAGTGCTTATTCCGTATTGGCATTTCAGACTTCCCACTTGGCAAGCATGAAGTCTTGATTGCAACTGCGAGAAGCTTATATCTTGATGTATCTGTTATCAGACCAGCAGCTTGCATCTTGATTCAAAGAATAAAACGGTAGACGTTGGGACTAGAAGAGAAAGCAGACGCCCTATTGTGATCAAGAAACAAACCGAGCACACCTTGAGGCTGTGTGTAATACGATGCCGGGACCCGATATCCCGTCCAGTACCGTACACTCCGTGTTCTTGGACTCGAAGGCACACTTCACCTCCCCCGCACCTATGCCAACGTGAGGATTGATTGCAATTAGATTGCCTCGAATGATTGATGGAACGCATTGCTGGTCGATTGGGGAAACTCCGGCTCCAGGGGTAAGCTGGAAGTTTCCCCTGATGCTTTGTCGAGGGCTGTTGGGTGCCTACCTAGTCGGCTCGATACTATTCACTGCCCGTCGTCGGATGGATGCCTCCGTCAATAGGGCATGGGAGATCCCACCGGTCATGGGGTTGAGGGATTGTCGGTGCGCTTCCCGGTGATCCCTTTCTTGGTGCTGAGGTCTTGATCAATACTGCGAACGGAACCTAGGACTCCTTGTGAGAGTAGTCGCCAAGGTATACTTCCCAAGAAGTCTCAAGGAGAACTAGAAGTCCCAAGGAAGACTATAAGAAGACCCCCCGAATCACGCAAGACCTCGTGGAACTCATGAGCTTCTTCATCAGCCAGAACATATTCAGCTGTTGACATCACATCTCAAGATGCTTTCACTCTCTGTTCTTCTTGCTGCCATCAGTGCCGTGTCTGCTCAGCAGGCAGGCACTCTGCAGACCGAGACTCACCCCAAGTTGACCTGGCAGAAGTGCACCGCCTCCAGCTGCACCAACGTCAACGGCGAGGTCGTCATCGACCACAACTGGAGATGGCTCCACGATGCCTCCGGCACCAACTGCTACGACGGAAACAAGTGGACCAGTGCCTGCAGCAGCGCGACCGACTGCGCGTCCAAGTGCTCGCTCGAGGGCGCTGACTACTCGGCCACGTACGGCGTCACTACCTCCGGCAATGCGCTCAGCTTGAAGTTCGTTACGCAGCACGCCTATGGCAAGAACATTGGCTCTCGCCATTATTTGATGAACAGTGCATCTGCTTATGAGATGTTTACGCTCACTGGCAACGAGCTGGCCTTTGACGTCGACCTGTCCCAGGTTGATTGTGGTCTGAACGGTGCCCTTTACTTTGTTCAGGTAAGTCAAAGATCTTTGGGGACAACCACCATGACTGAAAAGTCATTCGTGTCAGATAAATACTAACCTGTGAATAGATGGACGCTGATGGTGGCATGGCCAAGTATCCCACCAACAAGGCTGGTGCCAAGTATGGCACTGGATACTGCGACGCCCAGTGTGCTCGCGACCTCAAGTTCGTCGGCGGCAAGGCCAACATTGAGGGTTGGGTTCCTTCGTCCAACGATGCCAATGCTGGCGTTGGTCCCTACGGTGCCTGCTGTGCTGAGATGGACGTCTGGGGTACGTAATATACCGCCCCTATGCACCATATCTTTGAGTCTCCTTACGTGCTTGCTAATCGTTGACAGAGTCCAACTCTCACTCCTTCGCCTTGACTCCCCACGCATGCACGAACAACGCGTATCACGTCTGCGAGACGTCAGGCTGTGGTGGTACCTACTCCGCGGACCGCTTCGCTGGTGACTGCGATGCCAACGGATGTGACTTCAACCCCTACCGCATGGGTGCCACCAGCTTCTACGGCAAGGGCAAGACGGTCGATACTTCCAAGAAGTTTACGTAAGTCATCCTGTTGCTGCTTCAACCTACCTTTACACTTCGATATGGGCGAGATCGTGACACAGAAGCTGACCATGAACACCCAGTGTCGTCACCCAGTTCTCCAATAACAAGGTCGCGCAGTACTTCGTTCAGAACGGCGCCAAGATCAACATGCCCAACTCGACCATCACCGGCGTGACCGGAAACGCTGTCACCCCCGAGTTCTGCACCGCCCAATTCAAGGCCTTTGGCGACCGCGACCGTTTCTCCGAGGTCGGAGGCTTCTCCAAGCTCAACTCAGCCCTCAGCGGCAAGTGGGTGCTCGTGATGTCGCTTTGGGATGATCACTACGCCAACATGCTTTGGCTCGACTCCGTCTACCCTCCTGAGAAGGCCGGCCAGCCTGGTGCCGCCCGTGGAGACTGCCCCACCACCTCCGGCGTCCCGGCCGATGTTGAGAGCAGCCTTGCCAGCGTAAGTGATTCTCTGTTCTTCTATCAGGGGCGTGGAAAGCATAGAGCTGACAGCGAAACCATTTAGGCCACCGTTACGTACTCCAACATCCGTTTCGGACCCATCGGCTCGACCGTCAAATAAGTATATTCATAGAAACTTATTGCTTATTGTGCTAGAGCGCTTAGAACCTGCAACTCTTGTCTTGGTTGATGTTCTGCACGTTTCGGTAAAGGGGGCGGCGGGACAACGACAAGCCGTAAACGTAGCCTTTCTGCGATTGGCACTTGTGTTTACGCCCAGAATAAATATTGTCGTTCGAAGTGTAGGGTGTCGTTTTCTCTTCGTAAATAGTTGTTACTTTCACAATCTGAAGTTTTTATTGCTCGTTTATTTGTCCATACATACCTTACACGATGACCTTACCTCGCCAATATCTTACGTCAGCTATCCCATCAAACGCTAGATGGCGTCACTATATCCGTATCCAGTCTTTCTCCAAGTTTGTTCTGTTTTGAGATTATTCATAGGCGGATTTAAGATAACTCGAGGAAAATTAGAGAAAGACTGGAGACAGATGTAGTAACGCTATCGAAGGTAGCAGTTGATGGAATAGGGAACTTGTCGATGGGGATGCCGAAGTAAATGGCGGAGGAAGTATGGAGAGTAATCGCAGAACGATAAATCGATTCACCTAAGACGTGCAAAGTTTATCCCCAAGCTGAAATGAAAGCGAGCGCTGGCGGCAAAGTGGAAGGTCCCCAGTCGTGTGTAGGTCGTGGCAGCAGAGTTCAGCCACGGGACCATTACTATCGGACAGTTGTCCTTGACACTGCTAGAACTGCCGGCATTTTCCCTTCAAGTTAAAGCCTGATCTCCTGCTACGTTAGGTTTGCAAGGTTGTGATTTGAGATAGGACGGTCCCCTGCCCACGCTCATCTGCCCGGTCTGGCCACCAAACGGTATGGCTGCGCCCATATTTTACCGCAGATTCCAAGAGGCTATCAGTGTTGAGATGATGTGACATCCAATGAGGGACGGTGGCACTCACACGAAAACCCGGGCCTCCAATCTCATCAGAGTGCTCGAACTCTCATGGTGGTTCCACAAACCAATCAATCTGGGTTCATTTTCGAATCCAGCTTCAGTGACGCGTCCGAACCGTCACGGCTCGACCGAATTCCGGCAGAAAAGTGAGGAGAAAGCAGTCCGCGATGCCCGTGGTCCCACAGGCTGTCAGTGGTGGCCGGTGACAGAGTTTGTTACACACGCAAGACATAAACGCCCGTACAGTTGGGTCATGTTTAGCTGGGCTCGGACTGTTGCTTAGATGCATACTAGTTACGACAAACATCTAACCGACTGTCTGGAGGTCGTTGTTCATGGATTGTAGAGTAAAGTACGAAGAGAAGCCAGGACGTCACTGAGAGGTGCCATAATATGGTAGGTCAGCTTCTGAATAATCAGCACCTCGGTATGCTCTGGAGTCTGTGGACTGTCGGTGCCCGGGAATTACAGCGGATATCGGTATTCTGTGTTCGCGTTGGCATTTATCCTGGTGATAACTGCAAGGATCACAGCGGGACACTCTACTACTACCTTGTGCTACGACGAGTGTTACCACGCGCTGGACGAATGGACACCGTTACTGAAAAAGTCACAGAAGCGGTTTCAATTTCTTCAGGATACTAGTTCTCTACAGTGATTCAAAATCAGAGATAGAGATGTTCACGATTGTACATTAAACCTATCATAACCTAGCAATACTTGTAAGGACAGCCCGTCAGGATCGGCTCCTAACGCATTTTAATGGTCAAGGGATTTGGAGTTGGCATCTGGGGTACCCGGCATCTGCGGATCCTTTGAGTGTCTTGTAACATCAAACAAACTGACTTGCCAGCGCACCTCGCTAGTGCTTTACTTGCTGACGATGATCCCCATCATGATTCATCACCCTTGGGCAACACCCTCTCTTGTTAGCTTCTACCCCTAGAGAACGGCACTCCTCCTGCGTGGCTGGGCAAGGGCACTTAATTCAAGTCGTGGTTAAGGCCGGGAAGTGTGCTAGCTCCCGCGATCGTCTTGTTTCTTGAAAGCTTGCCTCTGAAGTCTGAACAGCCATACCGCCCGTACCTCAAAAGCCCAGATCTCTCCGTTAGCTGAGAATGATAGCCATAGAGGCACTCTGTTAGATAGTTGGGGGGCTGCGCATATTTTGTTTCGGAGGATACCGGGCTGGATAGGGGTAAATCTTACGCGCCCATCCAGAGGGTTGTCACATGGCCGGACATTTGTACATCCTGTTCCTGTCGTAAGAATACGTAGCTTACTCCTTCTTGCTTTGAAGCATTCGAAAGCACTAGTGGGAGCGCTGTTGTGTAGCACAAGGCCTCCATAGCTTCACTAAGCTCTGCTGCTTTCTTTTTCGTGCCTGGATCACAGAACATTTTACGTAATTCAGATGCTTCACATCGTACCTCTGGCATTCGACAAGTCCCTGGACAGATTGGGCGAGTGATGTCATCGTTCCGAGAATGGCGAGCACGTGGTTCGAGTCGGAGGCTGGCGTCTTCGCAATCACCTGGGGCTCAAAAAGCTCCTGAAGGATGTGCCGAACATTGGGACATTTCCCCTGGGGATTCATGTTTCTTGCCATCGAACACTCTACATCCTACCTGACTAGATATCGCTGTGCCATGAAGCGATGATCAAGATGGCTTGGCTCGAACCCCGCTTCTACCAATACTTGGCCACTCGACTTGGATGTCGAAACCACTGCCTGAGGTAAACCCTTCCTCAACTTGCACTCGGGCTCCAATAACTATCAAGAGAGAGAGTCAAAAAGTCTCTGTAAAAAAGATTGCCAGTGTTACGCTCTAAAGCTGCCGACACACTCTTTGCGATGCTTCTTGCGCTTGCCCGGAGGGGCTCTTCGCAATGGCATTACGCTGACAACCTCATGCTAGAAGTGGCAAAACAACAGATTGAACGCTCTAGGCAAGCGACGGGCATGTAAAAAGACGCGTCTGTCAGCTTTGTGCTACCCTCACATGGCGGACGATGTTGAATCTGTCTTTTCATTTATGTTTGAGAACTAGTTCCCACGCGTACATGAAGACATTCTAGTCATGTTCGTGGTCCTGGATGTAACCCAGATCGATGATTTTGCGGCACTGGGAATGATTATCTCTGATTTCAAGGACTAATTCGCATTTCTAGAAGTCTTCTTAGACTTACTTGAAGTGGGGGTTGGTAGCGCCGTAAACAAGTTACGCACTGGATCGTGGAGCTATGTGAGAAGGGCTATTCATAGAGCCTGCTCAATGCCTCGACCACGCCGAGATCCATGGAAGACCATGAACACAGCTACTTCATAGATAGAAAGAGCTCATCATCTGCAATCAGCAGCCTATTGTTGCGATGACTGTCAATGCTACCTAAGTGCTCGCGGCCACGAAACCATACATGGAGCTGATCACGATCGACCATTGGGCGCCCTTGGAAAGCAAATTTGGTTCGCGTCAATGTTGTTTGGCACGCGATCGAGAAGCTAGCGGTGACCGGTTCGGGTGCAGCCAGCTTTAATCCCGACTTCCGAAGCCCGAGGGGCTGATGCTTAACCTTGATGAGGTTCTATGGCATAGCCCCTTTAAGCCAACAAGAAGAAATGGATCATCGGAGTATCCGCGAGACAAATAGAATCTTGTTAAAGGCCTTGCCTGCGCTTGTAAAGTGAAACCTTAGTTGCATTTGTTCTGTGAGTTTGGCGGAACCTGAAGTTCCTAAGATGAGAAGACGTCGTGGTTGGGTGACACGTTGAACTTGTAGGGATATTTGTGACCCCGAATCGCAGCACATGGCGCCCGCTACGCCATCTTGGCACAACAAGCGTCAGTAAATTTGAGTTGCCTATGCTGGCTGAGTCGCACGGCTGTCCAGTTCGTGCAGTCAATGCTATCGGGAGTCGAGACGGAGCAACTTCCAAAGACGCGGTGCGATGGAGAAGGCCGATCCTCAAACTCGTAGTCTCTCGCTGGCCTCTTGATGACCGCTCTTCTTATCTACCTACTGAGGGATGGAGTCGAATAAATTATTACGAGACAAGAAGGTGTGGATGGCTGCAAAGGCCTTCGTTACTGCCAGACCTTCGCCTGGGACTGAGTCTGAAATTGCATTAAAATTAGAGCTCGATCGAGTCACAATTGATGTTGGTTATTTGGGATCAAATATAGCTCGCCCGCGATGCCCACGTAGCCTTATTGCGAATGCAGCATTTTCAGTGGTATTACTTTGACCTTGATATCCGATGTGCGAAGTACCACCGACATGGGACGGGCAAAGCTCGTGAATCGAGGGGTCGCCTCATCAAGTACTGGAGTTTGAGACACGCTCCTACATGTTGGTTGAGTGGCTTGAATCGTCTGACCTATCCACCAGATTACTATTGGGATTCCCCATATGTGTACGGAGCACTACCCAGTCTGCGCTGCGTGGATCACGATGGGCTTTGGGGGCACAACTCAATACCCATGTCACAGCTTCTCTTACCCTCTTCAGCCCCTGTTTCTTAACTTTAATAACGCCTCAAGACTGATTTACATAGATGACAGATTTGATGTCGTTGGGAGCCATCAAGCCAATGCCGTGGTGAGCGATGTCCGAGGAGAAGTAGATAAGAACTGGCTTGCCTTAAAATACATCCGTCGAGTCGGAGGGAACCCTCCGCTTCATCGTGATTGCACGACTGTGTTGAAGCAACATCTGAGTCGCTACAGCTACAGGTCTTAAAAAGAAAGTAGAAGACTCGCAGCATCTCAAGTGTCCGATTAACTTGCCACATCACTGCTAGCTATGCGGATGATCATTACGTAGACATCATGGCCCGCTCGAAGCATACTAAAGGGTGTAAGATTGACGGCTGTGAAGGACTAGGACTCTGAAGGGGGCATTGAGTCGTTAGGGCAAGTTCACCTCATCCATGGTCCAGGCCAGTGCAGACGGGAATCCTGCGAAAAGCCAACAGGGATGACACCAGGCCTGCGGGGTGTATCAGTTAGGTATCCGTACTGTGACCGAGAAGAGAGATGTGCAGTGGCCAAGAGATGCTGCTGGAATATTGATTCCACGCATTAATTGGCTATAAATACTCTTCCGAGGCGAATGATGGGGAGAGGTTGATGGTCATGCTGTTGTTCTTAATTTCTCCCCTTCACCTTGAACCGATGCTGGGCTCGCAATACGACTCCTCCTCCTCAAGGGACGCCCCGAGCCCGGATATTCCTGCGACAGCCACAAACTTCAGGCGCCTCCTACCAGCCGGCGCTGGCCCTCGCGTTATCTCAACGGAACGCCCCTTTCGACGGCAGAGACAAACTGTTCCAGCAGCTTGTCTAGAGTGCCGCAGACGGAAAGTAAAGGTAACGCCGAGGCTCTATGGGATTCGCAGCAAAGAAAGGAAGAGGGAAAGTCGCCCGCCTCCAGCTACTAACCCCTGGTGAGAAAAGTACCTTTTGCCACGGCCTGGTGTAACACACATAGCTTCTGTACTTATCCAGGTCGTTGACATCGCCGCCGTTAAGGTGGGGCAAAGTGGCCAAAGACTTGTCAAATCATGAATAGATTAGACAGTTAACCGTCAACCTTTTCCCCTCTTCATCCACCCCTTTCAGCCCAGCCAGACACTTATCATCTCGACATTACAGCCATAAATCCACAAACCTTCGACTGATGATTACTATTCAAAAACGCAGTGTTCCGCAACCCGACCGATCTGTTCGCGATGTTCCATTCAAAATGTTGAGTGCGAGTACGAGACAGGGCCTGACATCACCCGTAGACGCGCAATTGTCAACCGGCTTGAAGAACTCGAGAAAGAAAACAATGATCTCCAAGAGTTGATCAGAGATCTTTGTTCACGACCTGAAGCAGAGGCAACCGAGATATTCAATCGACTACGATCGACAGGCAACCCATTTCACGTCTTGGACCTCGTCCGCATGGGGGACCTACTTCTGGGAAAGCAACCTGTCGAAGCTGATAGCTTCGGTGACAGGAGAAGCAAATCGAGCCCGTTATCTTCCAAGCCGAGTTCCGTGCCAGAGAAAGCCGACATGAACCCGTCTGATCCGGAAGATTGATTGAATCGAGCCCTGCGCAAACTATGCACATGGTGGACAATCTGACTCATGAAACACCACGATAACTTCAGTTGACCCGAGCGGTTTCTTGAATCTTTTCTTGCAATCTAGTCATCAAACAAAGCACGATACGCTATCTAAGAGCTTTGGCGTTTGGATACGCGAGCGAGCTACGGTACACCTTTGCAACATTGCGACGCGCGGTCGAAGCCGACCGGCATAGCTACGAGATCCAAGCTTTTGTTGAATGCGCAACTCGAATCCTCCATGATGGGAGGGCTGCCAACAATCCATTAATGACAGCGTTTGACTTGAATCCGGTCGAGAAGCATCGAGAAGCTCGCCGTGGCGCCCAGCGATTGTCGGCGACGATGGGTAGACATTGGCTTTCTGACTGAAGACCAGTCCGACAACACGAAGCGACTAGCTCGGGTTTGCGACAGCTATTACTAAACAAAAGCTTCAGAGTCAATTGCGACTCCGAAACGAAGGATAAGGCTGGATTCCAAAGGGGCAATTGAATCATGGGAACTACATGGAACAAATGGACTGGTAGGTTCTCTCGACACCTTTCTGCATTAGGTGATTCCCGCAAGAGTTATTCTGGGTAGACGTTAAGTTGTACTTCGTGTTGCTCACCTATTTACGGAAGAAGTCCAATTACTTACTTACTTACCTACAGTGTTAGTTCGTATCGTTAAACCGAACCCAAATGCGACTAGACCAACCTCCCCGACGTCACGGTGACGAAACTCGAAACTCCCAAAACTTTGCGTTGCAGAAAGGCGCAACTCGGACCAAGACGCTCTATACGAGTACGGACAGATAGACACTCGGGGGGGCAAGATGGTGGAGGCAATCGAAAGCTGAAGAGTAGTTTTCGTAACAGCTGCAATCGGCATAATATTTGAAATTCAAATCTCAGGGTGAGCGGTCGAGTTCCTACAAAAGTAGCTGTGCGGTCGCGCATCACTTGGTCGTCCGGTGCCAAGGTACCAATGTCTTCCTTTATATCGTTTGGAATTGCAGACAGACCTTGAGAGACTACATGTATCGAGGAACTATACATGTAGAACAGCGGACACTCGCCCATATCAAGTTGGATTTGTTCAGTTCTAGTGCTCAATTGCGGTCATCTCTATCACGACTTCCCCTTTCTTAATGCGAACGTCACGGGATGTGCGATCAATGCTTCGCCCCCTTGAACGAGAATAACCGATGCGTGTATCGAATAATTTTGGTGCAAAGACTGGTTGAAAGGGCTACCGCGGTCTGGAATATTGACGCGGATGCTTTTACTGGGTTGTTGATCGGCGAGGGCAAGACGCTAACTCTTGACATAAGGTGGGTTTTCCATAGGTCTATCCCGAATATCGCCTCCAGCCTTCGACCAAGGCTAGCTAAGATTGAATTCCTAGTTGCTGTTGTAGTGTCTTGCTTGCTCTTCGCGCCTTCATAGTGGCCAATCGATCTGTAGCATACGTCCGTACTCAGTTTCGCCTGTCCCCTCTTTCTACTTCAGGAAAGCCGACGACTTGGACCGAGGCCCCCAGGACTATACAGGTGGCAACATCGGTGGTGACCGAGCGCAGAGTCGACGAAGCCCCGGTGGAGGAGTCTAATAGGCTAGTTGAGTTGAAGTTCCCAAGACTAGTGCCAAGGCCAATCATCTGACCGTGTTGGACGTTATTACCAATCCATAGAGTAGAGTGAAGAAAAGACGACAAGCGGCATTAAGCTCCTAACTTCTCAGAAGAAGTCAGAGGACCATCGACGGATGGAATTAAGAATCCACGAGCAGACGATGCAGCTTTAGGGACTACGGACGACTTCCTTCTTCCATCAAATGAGCTACACAACATTTTACAGTGACAGATAGCAGGTATTGCAGGGTTGCAGCTACATGTTCATTGCGAGAGTTTGCAAAGAGGAGTAAGGCACCCAAAACAAATCGCACAGTTGCACAACCGCGGTCACCGGCAAATGAGTTCCGTTGTCAGACGATTCCCGCTTAATCCTTCAACCGCGGCGCTCAAAGCGCGGTCAAGTATGTCGGCCAAGCGCGTCTACATGTACCCAATGAAGATGGCTTCAATAGTTTAAAGAAGGAAGAAAGCTCGCCAGTGAATCTATAGTGTCAATGAAGATGGACTTGATTCCGATACTCCCAATAGACAACGTCGTCAACATGTCTCAGCCGAAACCTCGCATCCTCTTCTTCAATCCTGTCCGCCATGCATTGGATGAGTATGAGGCTCTGAAATTGGTAGCCAACCCCGAAGTGGTCACCAGCATTTCCCGGGCTGGGTTCTTCAATGACTTGCGCACTAAGTATCATGACATTGAAGCCATCTTCAGAACGTCTTCTAGTGGAGCTGTTAGTAGTATTGCATCAAATATTGAAGCTGAAAGCTAAGATGCTTGACAGGTTGCAGGAAAGTTTGACGAGGAATTCGTGAACCAACTGCCTGTGTCTTTGAAGTACATCTGCCACACTGGCGCCGGATACGATCAGATCGACATTGATGCCTGCACACGGCGCAACATCTTCGTCACCTTTGCGCCTGACCCGGTGACGAATGCCACCGCTGATCTGACAATCTTCCTTCTCCTCGGAGCCATCCGTCAGTTAAACCCCTCTTTCAACAGTTTACGGAGCGGGAATTTCAAGAAGGGCCTCGACTTTGGGCATGACCCTCAGGGCAAGACCATGGGGATTCTCGGCATGGGTCGCATTGGTCGGGCAGTAAAGCGCCGTGCCGAGCCATTTGGTCTCAAGACAATCTACCACAACCGGAAGCCGCTGTCATATGATCTCGCTTCAGGCTGTCCGTATGTTTCCCTCGATGAGCTTCTCAGCACCAGCGATATCATCTCCGTCCATGTCCCGCTGTCAGCCGGTACTACGCACTTGATTGGAGCTGCAGAGATTGCCAAGATGAAGCCCGGCGTAGTCATAGTCAATACTGCCCGTGGCGCTATAATTGACGAGGCAGCCATGGCCACCGCCTTGGATGAGGGGCATATCGCTGCGGTTGGGCTAGATGTCTACGAAAAGGAGCCACTGGTCGACGAGCGGCTTGTCAAGAACGACCGAGCATTGCTTGTGCCTCATCTGGGAACCTACACCGTTGAGACACTCGGTCAGATGGAGTTGTTAGCGATGGAGAACGCCCGGCGTGGAGTGTGCGGGGAGAGGTTGTTGACGATAGTTCCTGAGCAGACCAAGGCCTATGAGCAGTCTGCATAGAAGAAAACGATGGTCACACTTGTTCATGGGCCACACAATCTCATGGGGTAGAAAGCAAAAGACTGTATTCCCAACAATGTCCGATGCTCCGTAATTCCCGTGTTGACCAGACTCGATCGCCGGAGAGATCAGTGTGGGGCAATCGTTGGTTACCCCACATGTCTCTCTCTTCCTAGTTCTCCGGGGGCGGTATTTTCTTCGTCCGCGGCTCAAATATTACGCGCGCTCGGCCATTTTCTCCGTCTCTTAAGCCTCCCGCCCGCAGCTCCCTACGGCCAATTGAACCCGATCTCGGCAAGAAGCAAACTTGTCCGTCAATACCTATGGCAGGCCAAGGAATCAAGAAAACAACTCGGAGTCGTGGAGCATGCCTGGCATGCAGAGCAAGAAAACACAAGGTGGGTTGAGAGGAGTCCCCAATCACCTGCAAGTACAAGAGGTTGACTGACTCTATGGGCAACCAACAGTGTAGCGGGGAGAGGTACGCTCGCGCTGATAGATACTTGTAATACCAACAAAGCTTATTGGCTTCATGTTAGACCAAAATGTGCACAATGCGGTATCAACAACGTGTCCTGTCAATGGCCTGAACAGAGAAAGCGGTAAGTGTCGAACGTCAGTCATCAAGTCGGGCTTCTTCTCCAGTCTTCCTCTTAACTCTCTCCACCTCCTGTGACTGACAGTAGAGGCGTAGTGGTCCCCCAAAACACTACATCTTAACCATGGAGAAACGTTTGATGGAAACGGAACAAGTTCTTGGCGCACTGCTGGCCCAAGTATCGAGAGACCAGCTGGTATCGGCATTTCGTGATCTCCGGGGACCTAGCCTTCGAACAACTGGTGGTGCCTCATCAACCAACGACGGAACATCACTTGAAGTGGTCAAAGGGCAAAAGTTCGGTCCCGTGTACTGGGGCAACTATCCTCTCGACTCAGCAGAAGCAGTTCAGCAATGGTGGGAAGACCGAACGTCAATAGATCCAAGCGATGTGCCCACTATGGACTCTCAGGTGTCCGAGGTTGCTGCTACAAACGATTCGCCCACCGACAACACACCAGGTGGCGACGATAGTTGCGGGGATGATGATAGTGAAGAGACCGAGGGCATGAGGCGCGCAGAAAGCATGGAAGAAGACGACACCCTAATGATAAACCCGGATATGTCTAGAGACTCAGAACAGTACTCTACTAGGATACGGGGTATCGGAGGAGGAGCTGCTGGGTCACCAGTAGAAGCGGCAACGAGCTCTGAACTCAGTCTCGATACAGGAGCGGATGAAAGGCGGCGGGAAACACAACTGCCAATTCTAGAAAGCTACGAAAGCGCGTTCCTTTGGTAGTTGAATTCACACATTTCGTCAAGTACGATTCGAGACTCTATGTGATCCATTTGAAGTACTAGGAGAGGCTAGTAAACTCGTCATGTGTAGTCGGGCGGTAATTACCTGACTTCAACTGGGTAGCTACGGTTCAGGCCTCGCCTTTCTTATGAAACTAGTATTTATCACGTTGTTGGAAAAGCTGTAGACATGTGCTGACTCCGCGGACTCATTCCAGCTTGTCTTTGGTCTTTCGCTTGGAGGTTCTTGCTGGAGAATATCTCTATCAGCTTTAGCTTCAAAGTTCCATTGACGGATATCTTCGGCAGAGTGCTCACGCAGGCCATTTCAGCTACGGGGTAATCTAACCCCGCCGCACCCCACCATTAATTTCGCTGGGCGTCAGCGCGTTTTCGGTCTGCCGCCTTTCGAGAACAATCGAGAGCAAACAGCGTCGACGGAACTTGGTCTGGCTTTTTGGCACCTTGGCGACAGGTCTTTCGACATGGCGCCAGAGATCGGAAGTCTCAGAGCCCTTGCCAACGGGGAAAGCCAGTTTGTCGGCAGTTCCTCAGGCGTCTTCTTCATCAACACCGTTAGGAGGGCCTTCTCAACGGCCGAAGGCACTGAGGCAGACGATGGGCGTCACGCTGTCGGAGCGGATACTCGCGATGACCCAACCCCCGAGGATTGCATAGTAGGCGACAGCGACAGAAATGACCAACAGTCTTCGGGAGGGAGGCCCGATTGCCGCAGCGCTGGTCGACCGGCCCAGGAATCAGATGCTGAGACCTCACCGCTCCCATCAGGCATGAATATCATGACTGACATGAGTTCTTTGCCTGAATATACAGTTGCTAGGGACCTGGTCCTTACGTACTTCCGAATATGGCATCCTTTGGTTCCCTTTTTACAAGGACCAGAATGCCTGGCAAATCTGGAAAATCTCTATGCACCTGACTTCAATAAGCGCAGTTCGAGATCGCTCTGCCAATTTGTCACCTTCAAGTGCATCTTGAACGTTGCTAAGCTTGACATAGATGGACCGCTTGATCTGGGGTCAGCGATCATTCGTTCGCCTTCCGACCTCTTACCAACTCTGAGCATATTGGCCCTTCGTTGCGACACAATCTCCATCCAAGCGCTGCTAGCATCTCAAGTCTATTTCGTTTCCACAATGTCGCTCCGGCATGCATCTTCTGTAAGTGGCTTGCTATCCAAGTCAATCTTTCAGTCGGGCATGCACAGGTGTCCAGTCCGGTACGACCATCTGTCTCCGGATGAGCGCTCAATGCGGAAACGCATATTCTGGAGCTTTTATGTTCTCGACCGTTTCATCAGCCAGTCGCTGGGGCACCCGAACGGTATTCAAGACTCGGACATTGACGTGTGCCCGCCAGGCCAGCGAGATCTCCATGAACCAGTTTCGAAGTCAGATCTGCATGGCCAAGCGGAGAACACCATCCTACACCTACCGGCAAACCACCCCGAACGCTTGGCATCATCTCCACCAGGTCGTAATCAAAGCACAGAGACCTCGCCCGAAGTAGAAGAAGAGCAAGACCGACATGAGAAAGCCGGTGGTACCGGCCCTCCGGCATCAAGCATGTCACCCAAGGCTGCCGCGATTATGCGCCACCGTCAAGAAACACAAGCTGTTCTGGCCCATCATGTTCGGCACTCACAGCTAGTGGGAAGAGTTCTGGAAGTCTTCCACAAGTCTATTCACGCCAGGGACATGGATAACCAAACGATCCTCTTTCTCAAGGCGGATGTGACGGCCTATGGTAACGATCTCACAGAGCCACGATTCAGCCCAGCCTTACGAGACATACCACAGCTTACCCCAGATCCCACCGTATTTCCCTTTATCAGTTACTATTACACGATACTTCTACTGAATCGCCCCTCACTTTCACTTGACTCGAGACATGCAGAGTTCCGTGATGCATTACAGACTTGCATCAGTGCTGCCTACGCGATAATCCGCATCATTGAGCAGTATTCAGACTTGGGAGGTCCTCTATTCTGGCCTGGATACATGTCAGGTGTTTGGATGAGTGGTCTAGTGCTGGCTCTAGCAGCTCGACTCAAAGTTTGCAATGTCACGAAAGCCAAATCGTATGTACCATCAAACCTACCAGCTAGCAACTCGAATGTTATGCCCAAGTACTCACTAAAGAAACAGAGGAATCGACTCTTCGCTTCAACTGTTACATAAGTTGACAAAACGATGGCCCATGGCCCGGCATTGTAGAGAAGTACTCTCTGTGCTACTCCGAGGCATTGAAGAAGGGCCCAGAGCACATAAGAGAGCACGAAAAGATACGGCCGAGGGCTCAAATCATGGGGACGGCTCTCGCTCTACGAATCATGGTCATGATGTTACACAAAAGCGTGCCAAGCGAAACAAGGGAAGGATAACAGGCGCTGATAATTCTAGGCGACAAGATCAGCCTGCAAATCCTGGTTCAATACCTCCGCGGCGGCAACTGCCAATGCCACATGCAAATCATGGCGCTCAAAGTCCATTTCTAAGAGATGGTAGTGGCGTTTCAAGGGTTCATGAAAGCCAAAGACAGAATCTTTTCAATTTTGAGACGCCTGACTTCAACCGAAACAGCCCCCCGCCGAACCAAAATCAACTTTATCAAGCAGAAGACAGCCAGCTTTTTTCGACGCCTGACTTGAACTTCTGCAATAACATCTCATCCACGGGGTCTCATTTTGCTCCTATACCCACAACATTTCCAGATCGCAACAGAAACCCGTCAAATCAGATTATGGACGGGCAATTCGGAGTTGCTGACAGCTTCTTTGACATATTTGATGGAGCTACTTGGGGTTCACTGCTGGACATTGTAAATGATGCAGGTACAGAAACACAGTATCAATATTAGGAGCGAAAGTATTGCTATCTTCGACCTGGGAGACTTTTCTGGTGATAGTTCTATCTTGGCAAGGGCGCAAGATTGTGCGTACTCTAGAATTCAAAGGTCAACGTAATCAGGCCATTTCATCAGTCATGGCAGGTGAGATAAAGGTGGACACGAAAAAGAACCGATAAATGAGCCAATGCCATTGTCTATTGTCTATTCTAGCAGTAGCCGGCAGTTTCAAGCCTGTGCCTGAACAAAGTCCTCCCCCTTCTTGATATTCCCTCTCAGTTCATCAATGGCCACCTTCAAAAGGCCTTTCTCATAGTCAGAGAGCGACCCAATGGGATGCGCAATCTCGGCGCCGTTAGGACCAAAGCTAACCGGCACCGCAAAGTAGCTCACTCCGAGCGCGTGGGCAACAGCCTCACCTCCTTGCAACCCGGGGAGGTAGACATAGGCAGGCTCTACAACACCACTCTGGCCTTGAGAGGCCTTGATGATGGCTAGGGCAAAACTACGAGGACATTGAAATAAGTGATTGCTGATGGGTAAAACATGGGTTCCTTGGAAATTGATACTTACCGGAAACCAGCGTATGCCATGCATGTCGTTGCGGACCCAGCACCGGCCTTGGCTTTGACGATTTCATCCCCGCCGAATTGAACTCCTGAAGATGACATGTCAGCTTGTGTCGCAAATAACTTCAATAAACTTCAACTCACTGTTGGTGATAGCGTTGATTTGCTCTTGGCTCAGCTGCACCGAGGGTTTGGATTGGCTGATCAACGGCAAGATTGTTGCCCCCGAATGTCCGCCTACAACAGGCACCTTAATCTCCTGCGGGCTAATGTTTCCAAGGACATCAGCAACAAATTTGGATCCACGCACAACGTCCAACGTTGTGACGCCAAACAAGCGCTTTGAGTCAAAGGCTCCGTGCTTCTTCAGCACTTCAGCGGCAATGGGAACAGTGCTATTGACTGGGTTGGTGATAATTCCAACCAATGCCTTGGGGCAGAATTGCCCAACTCCAGCAGCCAGATCCGCAATGATATCAGCATTGGTCTTGAACAAATCTGATAGCATGTCAGCCCAAACATTTCCGAGAGCTTTGAATCGAATCTCTCACCATCTCGCGTCATTCCTGGTTTTCGAGCAATGCCAGCAGAAATCAGTACGACTTCTGCTCCGGTTAGAGCCTTTTGAAGGCCATCATTCTCAGGGAGGTAGCCCTTGACGGCGGAAAGAGTATCAACGTGGTTGAGGTCCGTGGCCACGCCCACGGCGTGAACCACATCGTAAAGTCTCAGTTCTGTAACAAGAAGGGACTGTAGAGAGTAATATCAGTTGTGTTGATTCAAATGTCAAGGGCCTTTGGGGTTCATACCGATTTGAGTAGAAGACTCAAGGGTTGTCCGATCTGCCCAGAGGCACCTAACACAGCGACTTTGACCATCTTGGACAGTTTTGAGGCCTGAGAATTCACTTGAAGAGTTTTAAAGATTCCCTGGTCCAAATCGAGAGATGTGTAAGTGGCATGTGTCTGCCTAGGAGGTCAGACAACGAGGGCGTGTAAGTACGACATTAGGCCATAATAAATGCAACAGCACACAGGTTAGTATGCACAAAGAACATGCCGCCGACTGACAATTACCCCGATACTATCTACCGCTGTGACAAGTCAACCCTCAGTCGTCTATACAACATGATGCTCCCACGGATGAAGTGGCCCGGTCGAAAAAGGGGTCGGCTAAGAAAACCCGCGGCTCATCATTTAAGCGAAAGGTTCGCCGGTCTCCGCCCGGATGCCAACACGACCTCCTCCGATTTCAGGAAGACTGCGAACTCTTATTCGACGTATTACACAAATTGATTTACATAAGTTGAATGTTTGGGTCACAATCGTTTTGATCTTATCACATCAACTCAACCAGCCGGATCATCACCTATACCCATTATGTCTACCCAATCCCTCAAGATCGCAGTCGTCCCTGGCGACGGCATCGGCGTCGAGGTCATGCCATGGGGTGTCAAGAGTCTCGAAGCGGCCGCCAAAATATTCGGACTTACGCTGGAGTTTGAATGGTTCGATTTTGCCAGTTGCGCATACTATCACAAACATGGGCAGATGATGCCTTCTGATTGGAAGGAAAACCTTCTCAAGTTCGACGCAATCTATTTCGGTGCTGTGGGCATGCCTGACCAAGTACCCGACGATGTCTCACTCTGGGGCAGTTTGCTCAAGTTCCGCCGCGAGTTCGACCAATACATCAACCTGCGTCCCTGTCGTCTGATGCCCGGAGTCACTTCTCCCCTGGCCAACCGGAAGCCAGGAGACATCGACTTTTGGATTGTTCGCGAGAACACCGAGGGCGAGTACAGCAGTATCGGCGGCAAGATATTTGAGGGAACCGACCGCGAGACTGTCATCCAAGAAACAGTAATGACCAGAGTTGGTGTTGACAGAGTCCTTCGTTATGCCTTCGACCTTGCTCAAAGCCGTCCTCGAAAGCATCTCACAAGTGCTACTAAGAGCAATGGTATCAGCATAACGATGCCGTATTGGGACTCTCGTGTAGTGGAGATGGCGAAGAACTACGAAGACGTAAAGGTCGACAAATACCACATCGACATCCTCACTGCCCACTTCGTACAACGTCCAGACATCTTTGATGTTGTCGTTGGAAGTAACTTGTTTGGCGACATCCTTTCGGACTTGGGCCCTGCTTGCACAGGAACTATTGCCATTGCTCCTTCAGCAAACATCAACCCGGACGGCAAATTTCCTAGCTTGTTCGAGCCGGTGCATGGTAGCGCACCCGACATTGTTGGCAAAGGTGTTGCCAATCCTGTCGGCATGATCTGGGCTGGTCAGATGTTGCTCCAGCATTTTGGCTTAACGGACGCAGCAGACCTGGTGCTGAAGGCCATTGAGAACGTTTTGGCACGTGCAGAAGCCGCGGTTTTGACGCCGGATATGAAGGGTTCAGGTAACACGGAGGCGTTTGGGGCAGCTATTGAGGCAGAGATAGTGGCTCTAGGAGGGAAGAACTAAATCGAGCGAACCTAATATGTCATGCCATAAGGATAAAAGACATGCTGGTGACTAGAGAGGACTTGGTTTCAAATATATAGAAGGTGGCAGGCTAAGTTACTTAGGTCATATTAATGGACTTGGAGAACTCCTAAGCTTGCCCTGGACTTCGAACCTCGGGCTGATAATGATGACAGTCAGGTCTAATGAGATAGATTATCAAGCCCGAAACCATAGTAGTAATCTGCTGCGACAATATGCACACTAGTAAATCTGCTTCTAGGGGTATTCAGAAGAAACATTTACATTGGTAGCTAGAGAGTTTGCGAAATCTACGATTTCGTATCTCAAGTGCCACTAATATTCGTACTTACCCTGCAGTTTTAGCTTCATCACAACATGAGTAAGAAAGATGAGGGTTCCTCGTACTTACTTAACTCATGCTCTCGAATATTCATACTGCAAGTGACCACAACGACGGACTTGCGGATCAGCTTCACGCGAAGAAATTTACTGATGACAAGACACTATTTACCACCCTTCCCAACATAGAAAGCCCATTCTCGCACTCTCAACAAATATGATGCATACATATACTTACCTTACATCACTTTGAGCTCTTAAGACAACTTGCGATCAATTAGTTACTGTGATTGCACAGTTCCAAAGTCAACACATCCCAAGCCATTAATGGAATGGGTTTAGTGCGATTAACTGTATCCTTGCACCGGAGCTGACTCTCGGCCGAGAAATGGAGCCGCTAGGAGCTGCCAAGATCTCACGGGTCGAAGGATTCATCTAATTTCGTCAATGAAGCTCCTCCTTTTCTGATGTGAGATGCGCGAGAAATTTCATGCGTCACCCTATTCCAAACCCTATTCAACTTGCCTCTTCGAGGCGCTCTCGGGTGTGCCATGGGTGTCTTCCACGGCTTGGTTGCGATCGTCCTTCTCGTCGCAACTCACTTAGCAACTGCCCAGCTGCCGACCAATGCCATCGAAGTCGACCTCGTATTCCCTCGCGCGGGTGGGAAATATGCCAAAACAAGCGACGGCCTCCCAGTCGTCCTCTCACTGCAGAACCCCAACGTCGCCTATCACTTTGGCTGGGTCTTCTCATGGGATATCTACAAGAAGCCTCTTGAAAATGTTCGGAGCTTACCTTTCAACACTATTGGGTCCATCCTAAAGAACGACTCCACCTACTCCGACAACCCGCACGTGGAAGCCCAGTATACGGAGGCCCTTGACACGGGCGAGTACATGTTCTCCTGGACCGTTCATACTGGCCCTTGGTGTAATCTTTCGAATGCCTGGGTCGAGTATTCAGCAAACCACAAAGTCAACAATGGCACCTTCGACTTCACCATTGAGCAGGGAGCCCCGACGCCAACCTTCACCGGAACATGCCCAACTGCTTTGGGCATGATTAACTACGCGTCTTTGACGACATATCATGGCCTCTTTGATGGGGCGTACGATGATCCGGTCACAAGCCCGATGTCATGTGCAATCACAACCAATGTGACCTTCACAGCAGAGCCGTGCAGGGCAACAATCAATGAAGCACAGGCTACGAGTATCTCCAGCCAACTTCATTTGGGAACCTACGCGACTGCGTCAGCCACAGCATCGCCGACGGGTTCCGCCGCTGCTGCCCAACACACGTTGAACAGGCGCCTAATCTGGGCTGTCGTGTCATTTATTGTCCTGTTTGGCACTCATGTAGCCCAATGATAGATCATATGCCACGTACGGATATTTTAGATTCTTCAAGTATGCCTGCGCGTGTTGACGATTGGTCACGGCTCCGAACTACCTACTTGACTGTTGTTTTCCCACCCTCGCCGGTTTCATAAGGACAGTCCGCTGTCAACATACCATTATCCTAGCTACCCGCATCCCAAATGGGCAGAGTCCAGAGAGATTGTATGCATGCTGCAGGGTTAGTGGGGATTTAAGCGGAAACGCGACGGGGCAGGCGGAAGCTCACGGATCACAACCTAGATCGGGATGGCTTGCATGCTTGTGGGACTTGAGGGTTTAGACAGAGATGAGGCTCACTAGTGTTCATGATGGGTTTGACTCAAGCAAACCTCATCAATTGTGCTCAAGATTTCGGCTTCGTCCGGATACCCAGTAGCTTCATCACAGTTGGACTGGAACATGGATACAATGTCTTTGGTTTTATCCAAAAGCAACTCCCGTATCGCGCTTGAAGCAGCCGTAACACAAGATCTTCCCCATTTTGGGTCTCATGTGGATCTCAGATTGCTTTTGCCAACTCAAATGTTGTTGGCCAAGACGGCTGGAGATGCATCCATTCGGAGGAGATGCCGGATTAGCCATCACCTGCATCGAGTCTCACGCAGTCATTTATGACCATGTGTCAAAAGAAACGATCACCCACGTTTACGTGCGGCGCAGGAGATGACTTTCTTCATAATTCCGTGGCGACAGGGAAGCGACATCGGGTTCCCAATCCTCATGCAGCCGTGACATTGCTTTTGCCTTCAGAAGCGCGTGTCAGCGGCACATGTGCTGCCTTTCTCGGTCGTAGATCAATCATGAAACCCCCGACTCTTCTCTCAAGGGTTTCTTAATCTCTTCGAAGATTCTTTCAAACCAAAACTCGCGCCGAGTTCCATCGATACTAATGGCGGCATCTGATGGACATTCCCTCGATAACAGATGATCCGAGCAGCCTCCCCTTGACGGGGACATCGGCGTTCGTCGGACAGCCCCCCGCGACTCAAAATGATTATTACGTCGCCAAGGGTCTCTTCCGCATGGCCGGAATGCCGACAGCCAACCCGATGACAGGCTATTACCTCGCCGCCAAGCAGCCTTCCGACTATGCCCATGATACGAAGTTGCCCGGCGTTTTAGCAGGCCTCATTTTTGTTATCCTAGCTGTCGTTGCGCCCACGGCAGCGAGAGTATGGCTAAGATTGCGAAGAGGTTCAGTTATGCAATTCGGTTGGGATGACTGGACCATCATTGCTGCAGCAGTAAGTGCTTGGGAGATTTGAAGATTGAAGATACTCCAACGTACTAATCCTACTCACAACAGATCCTAGCTCTCGTGTTTCCAATCGCACAACTTCATTCCCTCGCGATCGGCGCAGCTGCCCTCCACACGTGGGAAGTCACTTATGAGCTATTCAACATCGGCGTGTTAGTGGCCATGGTCTGCAAGACAACATTCTTCGTTACCGTGGGCATGATTAAGCTCTCCATAGCAATATCCATGAGAAGACTGGCCGACCGACTCCCGAGATGGTGGCGAATCGCATGCGATATTTTCATCGGATCGACCATCGCATACATCCTGCTCGCAATCTTCCTCAACATCTTTACATGCAATCCGCCGGCAGCACAATGGGACCTGGCGATCCGGGGCAGACGAGAGTCTGCTCCTTCGTGTATCAGCATGGACGTTCAGTCAAAGATTCTGACCGGCTTCCACGTGGCACAGGGGCTCACCTTGCTGCTTGCGCCCGCTGTGATTTTGTTGAAGATTCGCATGCAAATGCCGAAGAAGATTCGGCTATTCGCGATCTGGATGATCGGTGGTTTGGCAGTGTTGAGTGGCTTGCTGCATCAAATCCTTCCTGCGCCCACCAACGACTTCACTTGGGATTACACAGAAGCTCTGATATGGGCATGCTTGGATCTATCACTGGGCGTTGTGACGGCTTCACTGCCAGTGCTGGACAGCTTGATGGAAGAATATTGGAGAAGGGCCAGAACCACCAAGGTCAACACATACGGCGGAAATAAGTCATCACGATCAAGAACGAGCGAAGACAGCGCCTGGCCATACACCAAGACTGCGGGCACAGACAAAAGTAGAAAACAGGCAGCAAGACCACCTATCTCCAACATTACGATGCCCATGGAATGCTCAGAGTCTAGAGAAAGCATCGTTAAGAAGGAGGAGTACCACGAAAGTAAGGTTGCGGCGATTGAGATGGGTATTTTGTGCACTCAGGAAATTGAAGTGCATGTTTCTGATGCGGAAGATGTGGAAAAGGGACGGGCAGAAAGTCGAGGACCAAGATCACCGTCGCCCTTTTACCATAATAGGCCTGAATGGCACGACAACTCTCATAAATTTTGATAGAAATGGAACTTGCAGTTTTACCAACCTTGAATATCTCAGACGTCTAGAAGGCTACGCTCAGGCAACGACGCCCGAAGATGGCAAGCAATCATATGCAACTCGACGGACTTGTGAGTCAGTATTTTGGATATGAGGTGATTTCTGTGGCGCCATCTCATTACTTCTCTAAATATCCCGGGATTGTCGCTGTAACAACGTCAGCACATATGCCAGGACACCATTGCGAAGCTGGCAATCGGGATGTCGAACTTCAAATGTGACGATCAAGGTTTTGTTCATATTGGAGCCAGTGAGATTCATCTTACTAAGTTATGGTAAAGAAACTTCTTCGCTATGCCACGTAACCGCCTGCTTCCCATCAAACACCAGCAACAACGCCCTCACACCTCTTGCTTTTCGATTTGACAACAACCGCCGTTTCCCGGATCCCAAATACACCCATGAAGATCAGAACCCACCATTAGGATGAATGAGAACCTTCGTATAACCGTCAATTCTCTTGTCGAACTTCTCATACGCAACTTCTGCATCGTCGATGTTGATCTCATGCGAGACGACGAAGCTGGGCTTGGCCTTGCCTGCAATAATCAAGTCACGCAGGTATCGGTTGTACGCCTTGACGTTACACTGTCCAGTTCCAAGGGAGAGTCCCTTCTCGAAGAGCTTGCCGAAGCTCAAGCTAATCATACCCTTTGCTGAAGCATCATCTGACGCACCGGGGTCGCTGAGAACACGCTCCGTCAGAATCGTATCGCGCTCAGCGGAAGAATGAGTCTTACCTAGGAACGTAAAGTCCCGGGATACCAAGTCCACCGCATGCTCTTGTGACCTTGATCATGTTCTCCAGGACGATGTTGGGCTGCTCGGTGTTTCCACCGGCGCTCACTGCCTGGTATCCAACAGCATCCACCGAGCGGTCGACTTCGCCGCCGTTCAACTTCTTGATTTGCTCAACAGCATCGCCCTTGGTGAAGTCCACTGGTGTACATCCAATCTTTTCTGCGGACTCCAGACGCTCGGGAACGCGATCGACCACGTAGACTCTTGATGCGCCACGGAGAACTGCTGAGTAGGCGGCCATCAGACCGACAGGGCCGGCACCGAAAACAGCAACGCTCTCGCCGGGCTTGAAGCCGGAGAGCTCAATTCCATGCCAGCCAGTGGGGAAGATATCTGGCGAAGCGCACATGGTCAGTATGTTCGCGATAATCTTGGCGGTGGTGGGTACGTACCTGCAAGCAATATGAAGTCTGCCTCAAACTCCTTGCCGGCGGGAAGCTTCAGGGCGTTGAAGTCGGCATAGGGAACTCTGATATATTGTGCTTGACCGCCAGGGTACGGGCCCATGGCAACATATCCTTGGTAGCATGTGAGCTCATATCAATCCATTATTGTACTAGACGATGACTTACCATAAGCACCACCAGCAAATCCAGGGTTGACGCCAGTGCAGAATGCTGTCCGTCCCTCTTCGCAGTTGTGGCAGCGGCCATCAGCAACGTTGAAGGGCATAACGACACGATCTCCCTTCTTCAGAAGCGTGACACCAGCTCCGAGCTCCTCGACGATTCCCATGTTTTCGTGGCCTGTGACATCAATGTCAGCATAAATTCTATGCTAAGCATAAAAGTAAAGCTAGTGGCTCACCGAACGTGATTCCTGCCTCTGCAGCCGTTCTTCCCTCGTACATGCTGCGAATGATGAGTTATCGTGCACTGACATTGCTTCGTCGTTCGTAGACTTACTGCAAGTCTGAGCCGCAGATGGCAGCCTGTATTCTTGATTAGCTTCAGTGATCGCAGATAGTGGCCGGCAGGGCGGGGAGGGAGGTTCGTCTCACAGTGGTAACCTTGACGATGACATCGTCGGGGTGCTGAATCTTGGGCAACGACACCTCCGAGACCTTGACCTTGTAAGGGCCTTGGTAGTTCACAGCTTTCATTGTTGGGGACGACATGATGGTGTTATTATCTGGGCAAAAGTGAGGCTTTGACGATTGAGGACAGATTATTTACTCAAGAGCGCCTTGGAGCAGCAACGGCCATATTTATCCCATGAACCCCTCACAAAAGCATCTACCGAGCATATCACCAAGAATAGCTTCTCCTTCCTTCAGTATGCCCCGGATGACCGGCTCCCACTCAAGCACCGTCATCGCCGCGGGAAATCTTTCTAGAATGAGATAGTGGACTGCGCCGCTGCGGGGTAGTGCGGGAAACTTTCGCCAAGACGCGGGGATGCCGCCGCGATCCAGTTTGTGTCCGGCATGTTTTGAAGCTGGTTCACGCTGGTTGATGCACGGCAGGATGGCCGGGGGAGCTGGTGTTTGCTCCCGAGTGGGTGAGGATGAACTCCGAACCTCCGAGACTTCAGACTAAAGCGTCCCTCATCGGCGAATTACTGCCTTTTGTAGAGTGCGGGGGAAGAGAAGACCCAACGTGATCCTTACCTTAGCTATTAGATAACTCTAGATCTCAAGCCGATGAACTATGAAGCTGCCCTTCAATCCACAAGAGCTTCCCCGCCGCTGTGAGATGGCTGGGGGTGATACACACAGCATCCATTCGTCTTACTCCAAGTTTCATTCTTGCATGACGTATTTGGAGAATAAGAGGGTCTCGAGGGACGCGGTTCGGTGAGGAGACGAGCGAAGATGCATGTCTCGCGCAGGAATCCAACTTGACTCCGCAATTCTCGCCGAACATTTCTCTTCTGGACCTGATTCTGCGACATGTCCGACGCAGTGGAACTAGAAATGGGCTGCCGAGACTCTGCAAGGACATGCGTCTACAACCGCGAGATAGCTAAAGTGAGTGATAGAGACTCCACGACGCGTATCTCGCAGGACAATTTGAGCTGCGTGCGATAGCCGTCACGTTGACACCTTCCAAGTGCGCTGCTTGGCTGCATTATCATGGCATGAGTCTACATGCAAGCCCTCTTGAATCGAGTTCTATCTCCTTCTGCCCCTCGTCAATGATGCAACTCAGAAGGAGACAACACCGCTGTGAGCGAGGATGTTCGCGCTCCCACTTCCCGGATTTCCAACCACACCTTTGATCGCAAGCTCATTCAACTTCTCTACAACGGCCGCCGCATTCTGGAGAGGATACAATGCCTGGAGATATGCAACGAGTCCAGCGACATGAGGTGTTGCCATTGACGTTCCAGAAACCACTGACACCTGCCCAGGCTGCCTCCAAAGCGACGGAATGTCAAGACCGGGCGCAAAGATGTTTACGTCGGGTCCAAAGTTGCTCCAGTCTGCCCGAGTCCAATTCCAGGCGATCGCGCCGACTGTGATGGCTTTCTGGGCAGAAGCAGGAGACTTGGCCGATGCGTCCTTGCCATCGTTTCCGGCACCGACCACGGTTGTGACACCAAGATCGAAAGCTGCATCTATTGCTGAGTTCATCACGTCGCTCTTCGGAAATGCTTCGGTGAGGTCAGCGCAATCTTTCCCGCAGAGTGGAAGATCTTGGGCGTGTGCCCAACTCACCTAGACTCATATTGATGACAGCTTGAGAGACCCGTCCAGGGGTGTCGGTAATGTTGTTGACGGCCCAGCTGTACCCATCCAGCACATGAGCAACGGTAGAGTAGCCCTGTCACAGATTCCAACGTTAGCTAATGACACAATAACTAGGATTCCAGAAACCGGTGCATTTACAAGACCCCGAACGACCTTGACATCGATAACGGTCGCTTTCTTCGCCACGCCATATGTAGCTGCGCCAATGATACCCGCAACATGGGAACCGTGACCGAACTCGTCCTCGAAAGGATAATTGGGTGCCCAAGCATTGTAGCCTCGAATGGCACGCCCCTCGAATTCTGCGTGCTCTGTGGTGACTCCAGAATCAAGGACGTAAGCGTAGGTCCCTTCTCCGGCGGCGCTGTCGTACACGTAAGGACTGGAGCTGCTGCCGTCCACCAGAGGAGTTGTCGAAGACAGGCTCGAAAGTCCCCACGGAGCAGCTGCTTGGGTGACCAGGGTTGTCATCTCAGCAACTCGGTCTGGCTCTACGCTAACGGCCTACAAGTCCAAGATCAGCTTTCGGTCATCGCTTTGCAGAAACGCCAAGTCTACTCACGTATCCGTCCTTTTCAATTTCTGCAACGGTTTCCGCATCGAACTCTCCGGCGTAAGCCTTGAAGTTACCGATGCTGAATGTCTTTTCGACTCCAACAGTTCTCCGACGATTTAAACTGCGTTTGTGAACGCTGGCGACCCAGCTCAAGTGACTCTCAAACTCCGTATCGTAGGTACCTGGGGCAACGCGAATGATGTACTTATCGGGAACGATAGACCCTTCGTTGGAGTTCTTCGCCAAGAACGGACTAGCTAGAACAGCCGATGAGAACCCTAGGAGGGCGATGATGCGCTTGACGTTAGACATTATTCGATGATACGACTAGCCCAGTTCACTTCATTCCCGGAAACCAAATCAGTACTGATTGAAGAGAAACTTAGAGATTTTATATACGTTGACAGATAGCCTGGTCATTGGGGTCTAGGGACTGTAATTTGTAGCCGTTTCCGCAGAAGAACTTTTCTACTCGTGTCATTCTGGACAAAAAGCAGTCTGGAGTTGACACTACATCTACGACCTTCTATTCAAAGCTGGGCTGTGATCATCACCTCACCTCGTATCCAGGCCAAGACGGCCACTATCGCTGCGATGGGAAGGTGATTGCGGTACAACCCTGATTGCCAAGCACCGTCAAACAAGGATTGTAACCTCGCAACCTCTGCATAGATGATGTTCACTACGACTGAGACTCGTTGAGTGGGAATCCGCAGGGGGTTTGATTACGCCACTAGTCTATCTTATTATGTGCTAAAGTAATCTACAACCTCGGGGTTTATGTTCCCAATTAACTTAGTCTACCCCGAGGTTTGCAAGGTCTCCTAGGCCTACGCCTCCTACACAAGCCTATTACAACAGTGAAGGCTTAATCGGTTTAACATTTGATAAAGTACAGATTCTCTGTTGGGGTTGAAATATAGTTTTAAAGTTCCAGCCTTCGCTGTATCTACGAAGCCCATCATTTGCATGCAGACTGTCGTAGTTCCCGAGTCCTTGACTGCTGGACATATTTCGAGCTGACTTTGGCTAGAGACTTTGTCAAAGAAAATGTACAACGGAATTTGTTCCGTCCATACAATCTATGACAACATGCTCGCGAGGGAAATGGTTTGCCACAACAGGCTTTTAGGTACTTCAAATGGATGTCTCAGTCAAGCGTCTTGATAAGAACATCAACAGCGGTAAGGATGTTCTTGGTAAGGATGAATGTAGCGGCGCAAAGATTTCAAGTGAGTCTCCAGAGGCATACAGAAGATTTATGTTCATTGGATGATTAGGCTAACATCTAGTTGACGAAGCTCCAGCACTGCGACTGGTAAATTGGTAAATCAACCTCATACAAGGTCTTAGTGTAGAATTTTGTAACATAGGCATCAACGCCCAGATGGAAAGTGCTAGCAAACCAGGCACCATTCTGACACTGCTCTCCGGTAGGTTTCGCGAAAGTAACGCCACTGGCGCTGGTGTAAGTGAAGTCAAGGTCTACCGCAAAGGCGTTTATGACCTGGGGCTTCGCCTCGACTCCAGCAGACATATCGAGGAGGCCGTTGAAGAGCTTAACACCCAAAGCGACGGTCAGGTCAGCGAACGGGTTCAGTTGAAGTTCTACTTGAGCGTTGATATCTGTGGTGACGTTGGTTTGAGGCTTCCAGCCTGTGGAAGAGGTCTTGGCGGAGTCCAAAAAGTCAAGGTGAACTTGAGCATCGGCAATGGTTGAGACAACGTCCACGGAAGCCTTGACCACACCGGATGCAGCAAACTCAATACCGAGGCCAAAGTCCACCATGGGGCCGACATCTATGATGCCTGGAATAGTGAAGGCAGAAACAGACACGGACAGGGGGTTGTAGTTGTACAAGTCCGTCGAGTACTGGGCGTTGACCTGGGCCGAGATGTTGAGATTCAGAGCAGACGAGTAGTCGACATCAATGTAAAACTCATCAACCTTGAACTTCCAGAAGTTGTAGTGGACATGGCCCGCCAAGGTAACTGTGCTTTCCAGCCTGGCTTCGTTGGCAACAATGGTCAAGGGGTCCGTCGCAACGAGTGTGGAGCCAGAAAGGTCTGCGGAGATGGTTCCGGAGAGATCTCGCTTGGTGGTAGCTGTGCCGGTGTGTTGGAAGTCGATGACTGCATCGTTCATCTGGTCACTGATCTCCGCTTTGCTAGACGAAGCAGTCAGAGTCAAGGTGGCGTTGTCAAAGGTGTAGTTCTGGACCACGTAGACACCGCGCTCGTGTTCGCTGTCGCAAGTACCGTTGTGGTTCGTGATGATGATGAAGTCTTTTGCTGGCCATGCGCCCAAGCAAGTGTTGTAGTCTTCGGTGGCGCTGAACTTGAGAACAACTCCGGTAGCCGAGCACTCTACATCGGTGACTGTCTCGATGTCCTCCAACAAGACTGCCGGTTGCTTCATCATGGCCCTAACGAGGGCGTTTGTAGCGTTAAGTCCTTCATAGGGTAGGGTGACATTGGTCTTGGGTGTGAACTTGGCTGGTCCAAGGGGAACGGCGGGGACGGAAGTCTGTCGTTTCTGGGCTGGTCGAAGAACAGCTTTCTCGGGCAAAGCAGCGGCTAGGCTGGAGCCAATAAGTGCCTGGACGGCCAAAAGAGTGGAAATTGAAGGTTTCATAATTGAAGCAAAGTAAGTGACTGTGAAAAATGAGAGAATCAACGAGGTTAAAATGAGTGAAGTCCGAAGGGTAGGCGAGACTGCTGGTGGTCAGATGACTTTGTTAATCGTGATGTGATTGAACCAACACTTCTGGCCGGACTACATCATTGGTTTTATATGCTGTGCTAAGTCTCCTGGGAGACTGAGCAGAGACTATTTCAAGAAGCATCTCAAGGACCTCTTGAGAACCCTGGAGCTAAAAAAGGATCAGAGTCCACTTCACGCGTCTTGGACCGGGGCTCGGGACATCGCCGCATCGTGACAGCTGAGCTCAGCCGCGTCCGATGGAACCAACATATCGAATATGCGTGTTCGTGAGCGCGAGCCGCGGCGAGCAAGACATGAAGGCCACTGCTCTCGGCTGGGAATGTTAATTGCTGACCAGGATATCCGCATGCCCTGTCAACTTTGTGCTGTTGTTGTTAATTTTGGGCACTGCCGCCGGCAAAAGAACAGAGTAACTTTGCCCACAGAGCCGTGAACTCGTGAAGCAAAGCCCAACGGGCAAGTTCCGAACGGCTCAGAGTTGCGGTTTCCCCTTGTCTAGATTCCAAGGGTCCCCATATCCCCAGACACGCTCTACCTAGTATGTAGAACTTTCAGCGCCGAAAATTTGTAGGTGGCAGAGTCGCGACTCAGCCGGCCAACGCTACGATGTGCTTAATACTCAAAAAAGTGGATGAACACTCGGAGCTTGCTGTCGGTTTTTGACCCCATGTATCTCAAGCTGGGGATGCCGCGGAGAAGACCCCCAATCCGGTTACATCCGATCTATCACGAGTCAGGACGCAAATTCAAATACCTGGCATAGTTCATCCTAAGTCGGTATTTCGCTAGGAAATATTCCTTCACGATTGGTACTTATTCTACGAAGTATTGACTGAGCCAAGTTTCATCTCTGCTGCGACGAACACCTTAGACGTTGGCCTACTTCCTACTGCACAATCTCATCAACTCGCTTGGTGGACTTTCTCGGAAATATAATCATCATTTTCCCCGCCGAGAGGCGATATGTCATGGGTATTTCATGGCCTGTTGTCGGTCTGGCCGAGACTTGATGACAAGGGTCAGGTCTTCATTCCTGGATCGAACATCCCAATTTGGTCGTCCCCTTTCCTTCTCACCCCATACTTGGCCAGAATTTCTGCTTCCAACGACAGTCTTCCCTTGTTGTAGCCCCTGGAGAACTGGAGGGCTGAGCCTGTCTCAATAGATGGCCAGCAGGTGATCCGTGTTGCTTGCAATTAAAGAGCACCAAGTCTAGCTTTACCTAACATAGGTACGTCTTTATTGACGCCATCTAGCAACTCATGGGATATCACACTACAGTACGGAGTAGTTTGCGGATTATTGCACGCATGCCCTTCGAGACCATTGGAAGCCAATTTGTTTCGTGCTCAGTTCAATCCTAAATTCCTGGTGTGCAGCAGAAAATCCAGCTGTCAGATACGGAACCCGCACAGACTCTATCAGCACCAGCCTACCATCGCTTCCCCCTGTGGGCTCCCTTTGCACAATACCAAAGAACCCAGGGAGTGTATTCATCATAATAGCTTGTCCACCCAGCTGCCATCCCAATGCCTGTGACAATAGTGAAAATGACTCTGTTGGACAAAACTTGACTCCATGTCGGCATCCAAGCGGGTAGGAATGCGATGAAATTGTCACGATACGCACACAGGTAAAAGAACCTGAGAAAGGCCCATAGAAGTCCACCAAATCTGTCGAGATTTTTCACGATGGAAAGGCATTGCGAAAGAAACACTCCCTTCGATCCGTCATCGATTCGCCAACATCAGTTCCTGATCGAGCAACATGGCGGCAAAGCGACTCACCGTCATCGACCCATTCTTCGATGAGTAGATCCTCTCCAGCGTCTACATCAGCCCGCGAAAAGTCCTGAATGTCGAACAATCCAAACGCCGCTTCGTCACCGGGCTCCAGCTCACGGCATTCACCGTTGATCCAAACTCTGGCTTTTCCTTTCAAGATGCAGATATGCTTGACAAAGCTTTCGCGCCAGTGGACGCCAGGGCTCCATTTGGAATGGACGAGAATTTGGAGAATTCGGTTTCGCGAGTTGAAGGGTAGCAAATCGGACACAACCTGTGAAGCGGGCAGATGCACTTCAACGATGTTCTGTAGATCGGGTAAATGGTATCGGAGCGATCCATCGTGCTTGGTGTTTGTGAGTTGCATGGCGTGGCAGTTACTTTTACTGCCTTGATCGAGACCGCACAGAATGGCTGGAAGGTTTACGCGCCCGAAGTGACTTATATACAGCTATTAACGCTTCCACCAATGCATTCTCACTTTCATTTACCCCCGTGGACATAAGTAGGGGAAGCCACCAACACTATCCACGATTTCACCGAGAAAAGCTCCAAGAATAAAACTTACTCCAGAACCATTCCGTTTCTGAATAAGAGTTGTGCTGATGTGTTTACTAGATTCGGATTGAGAATAGCCGATTCTTTTCCTATGAGAATGGATCGAATATCTAATATAGTTGTAGTCGTTGTGTATTGTCACAGAATGTCGGATTGGAAGTCCAATTCGACCTCGAGGCCAGGGGGCCCGCGCAGGGGCCACTTCCAGACCGTACTTACGAGATCCACGGTCTGCCCAACCTCCGGTTGGAACCTCCCTTTTACATCTTACGCAGAAGTTGAATATATATCGATTTTGACCTCTTCGTCACCCACGGTTCGAACCAATCCCTGTGATAGGAATACCAACACAGAAGTTGTTCAACCGTGGGTTCCGTGAGGAGCGGGAAGAAAACCCCGAGTGCGTCTGCGTCCCAGTCAAGGGTCAGCTCCATCCCATCTACTTGAGTGTCTGTTCTGTTTCGTCAAGTTCAATGTTGTTTGATGGTCCTTCTCCAAGCTTGTGGAACAACGAATCTAGCAGCTCTGTTGCTCTTTTCGCTTCGGCAGGCCACTTGCTCTAACGAGGCCATGTTTGGTAATTTCTCCATAGCATCATCTCAACCTCTGGATTCTTGGTCGCGCATCCAATTTCACCATCGGGTGGGGCACCCAGACGATGGTACAGGTATGTGGTCGAGGCGATGAGAGTCAAACCACGACAGGCACTTGCAGCTTTGAAGCTGCACCCTGCAAAGCAAAATTGCGTCTCCTCCAACCTAGTGTGATGGCAACAAGCCATGACAAAAGTCCCAAACTTTGATTCGTCCTCATCAAAAGGATGTGACAGTTTGCCACTTTCGTCCAAGTCTCGATCCTTCGGCTATCAGAAGACGCAGTTGAAGCCTGTCTCGTTCTGTTGTTCGATGACGCGATTGGAGACCGACGTTCACTGCACACAAAGTACATACACGTGCTAAGGTATTATCAAGATGTGATTTATAAGCCGAAAGCTCCCCTCACAGCGGTTAGAACGCCATATAAAAACCCAACCGTTCGGCTTATTAGTATATGCAATGAATTCTACGCATTCATTGCATATCATTACTCGGCGCTTCTCGAATATCGTCCCGAACAATATGGCGCGCCTCTCCATAGTTCAACTTAGTGATGGGGCTAAAGTCCATGTCAAACTTCTCGGTGACAATGACGAGACCAAGCCCGTCATCATAGTCTTACATGGTGCGCCTGGCTTATCAGACCACAGAGAGCCGATCTCATCATTTGGCTTCCTAGCTTCTGATTTCCGAGTGCTAGTCTACGATGCGCGGGGCAGTGGCAAAAGCGAGTTGAAGCCACCGTACACTGATGAACGCTGGGTGGCTGATGTCGACGAACTGAGGTAAGAACTGAACTAATATTGCCCATCTTATTGATGATAACTTAACTAACCTCTCGTTTCAGAGCTTGGGCTGGCGTAGAAAAGTTCATTCTGGCCGGGGGTTCCTACGGAGGCTTTGTCGCTTTGCAGTACGCCATATCACATCCCGATCGTCTTCAGGCTCTCATTCTGAGAGATACGTGGGCATGCGGCCTCCGTGGGGCCTTCAACTTCATCAAAACTATCCTGACCAGTGACCGGATCAAACCAGACCCGGATAGGCAGGTCCGACTCAACAGCGGCAACATTCGAGACAATGAGGACTTTGCTGCTTCCTTTGCGGAGATTGTTGACATCTACAAACCAGAAGACGACTCGGCAATTGCGGATTCAGGAGACGCAACCTTCGAGGGCACCGTTGCCGACGAGTATATCCTCCACTATGAAACGCACAATTTTGCCTTTTCTTATAATCTTCCGCGACTTGATGTGCGGTCACGACTGAAGGACATCACTGCACCAACACTCGTTGCGACTGGGAGGCATGACGTTGTCGTACCTGTTGAGTATGGAGAAGAAATTAGTAGGGGGATTCCAAACAGCGAGTTCGTGGTCTTTGAGAAGTCTGGTCACAGTCCGCCAACTGACGAGCCGGAAGCCTTCCAAGAGACTGTAACCCGCTTTCTTTCAAAATGGGCCAAGTAAAACCCCCAAAACCCTCGGAATTAAGGTCTGTGGTGAATTGAATTAGTATCTTGCTTATGGGTTCAATGTTCTGTCTCTATTGAGGCCATCTCCTGCACAATTGGTCTTTCTGCTCGATTCATAATGTGTCCTTGACAAGCTTGCCCTGCACATACACTTGAGCAATGTTACGGTCATCTCCCGTCATCAAAAACTTTTCGAAAACCGTTCGAAGGCTGTCATTCTCTTCTCGAACCGTCATAACACCAAAGGCTTCATCGAGGGAGCTTGTGACAAGTATCGCATCAAACGCCTTGCCCACGGCAAAATTGCCGATCTTGTCTTCAAGGCAACAAACTTGGGCTCCACCAAGTGTCGAGAGGTGAAAAGCCTCGTCCAGAGAGAGTGCCTTGTCTTTGCCGCCGGACATAACCTCACGCGCGTTGGAAGCTATGATTGCCTGGCGAATGGTGTCGAGCATGCTTGACGAGAATCCGCCACCGCTGTCGGTACCCAGGCCAACCTTTATCCCTTTGGTCAGAAACTGGCGTATGGATGCTGCCATGAAGCCTCCTCCAACTGTCATGTTCGAGATTGGGCAGTGCGCAACACCACACTGAAGCTCCTTGATCTTCTCCATCTCGTACTCTGTCATGAAGGTGCAATGTGCGAGAATCGATCGCTGGTTCAGGAGACCATAGTGTTCATAGAGGTCTGCCTCACTTGTAAATTGTGGGAATAGTTCTCTTGTTGCCTTGATCTCCTGTTCAGCTTCATTGAAGTGCGTCTGAATTGCCAGCTCTGGGTCTTGGGCTGCCATCTGACCAAGACCTTTGAGCAAATCGGGGGTGCAGCATATGGCGAATCTCGGGGTCAAGACAGGGCGGATCAGTTGTCCGGTCGGGTCGATCTGGCGAATATGTTTGACGCATTCTTCCGTTTCCTTGAGAGATGATTCGGCAGATTCGTCGTGGAGATAACTTGGAGCGTTTCGATCCATGTTACACTTTCCCACGAAAGCCCTCTGGTTCAGCTGGTGGCAGATGTCTGCCAAAATCTGGGTCGCTTCGGAGTGTTTCGACCCGTAGTAGGAAGCAGTAGTGATGCCTTGCTTGAGAAAGCCCTTGACGCAGCTCTCGTAAACCTTGCGAGCGTAGACAGGATCTGAGAAGCGGGCTTCGTGGGGAAAGGTGACTTGATCGAGCCAGTCTAGGATATGGAGACCCTGTCCCTGGCCTCTCATTGCCCATTGCGGAGCATGATTGTGCGTGTCGATGAATCCGGGCGATAGAAACCGGCCTTTGGGGAGAATTTTGACTTCATGGTTGATAGAAAGCTTTTTGGAAAGCTCTTTAGCGGATATTTGGGTGTAGAATTGCGAAATTAGTCCATCGGAGCCAACGACGATTCCGGCGTTATCGAGTATTTCTACCTGGTTGGAACCAAGCGAGTGGATGACTGCTCCATGAAATGCTGTCGCCATGCTTGAAGATCCGCTGAAGAATGTGCGGTCTGCTATGAGGGATTAGAAGGTTCTGTAGCGTGGGTCGGGTGAAGAGCCTACACCAGATAATGAACAAGTATGTGTGGTAGTATCAAATCAAGATCTGTTGGAATTCCGAATGCCAGCAATGTGAGGGGATATTGGTGCACTAACGGTACGTACCGGCTCTTGTTCCTGTGGAGATAGCTACGGGCTTTATCTTATCGCAGATAAGCTGTCTCTTCGGTTGAGCTCGGGTGAGTTTACACATCGTCAACATCTCACACCTCTGCCTCCCTCTCATTCGACATGAACCCAGCATATCTGTTTCTTACTGATGATGCCAGTCTACTCTTTAACCATGAATTAAGACATGAAGGCTTGCGTATTTCTCAAGTCGAGAGACTGGAGTCCACCTGATACGCTCGTGCCTGAAGAGAACATCTCTACAGCCACCAACCTGACTTCCGCCTACATCCGCTGCTGCTTCGACAGGCCCTAGTCTCAAGAGAGATCTTTCAGTCACCGAGAACTATGTCATCAGAAAATTCATCTTCGTTTCGCAAGACCCAGCGCGCACCAAGGAGTTGTCGAGCCTGTGCTGCGCGGAAGGTCAAGTGCGACAAAAGACTACCATGCTCAACTTGTATTCGTCAAGGCACACCTGAGTCATGTTCTCGAGAGCTTGTGATGGTGCGTGGTGAAGTTACAAGGTCGTTTCTCATCCCTGAACACGGTTTCAATCAAGCTGACTGGAATCTCGAACTGTAGAGGGAAAGACCCAGTGCAATTGCCGACATACGATGAGCTGGTTCAGGAAAATCAACGACTAAGAACGGCTCTGGAATCATTCGCTCAAGTGCATCCTACTTCTGGCTCATTTCTTCGGAAGCCGAGAACTGCGTAGAAGTTGCTGGAGTGTCATGATCCGTTGGAAGAAATGGTGTTCAAGTCTCCATCACCTTCACAAGTGTCTCGACATTGTCAAGGATGGAGCACGATCGATATACCTTGTCGAAAGTCCAGCGAGCTCTTAATCGCATATGATAAGAAGTGGAATTCCTGGGTCCACTATGCCCTTGAATATCCCGAGTTCGAGCGGGAGCATGCCCACTTCATGAATTCTCTAGAAAGTGGTGCTATCTTGTCAGATTGTGATCCAGGTTGGTTATCAGTATATTTTAGTGTCATTACGGTCAGTTGCGATGAGATCTTCTGCTTCGTATATCTCAGCACTGACTTGGTTATCTTCGATAGGCTGCTCTGTTAATGATGGGTGATGAAGAAGCCCGTGAAATACTTCCTGAAGGTGAGAAAACGCCTTACGGCTCAACTACTTTGCACACGCCTAATGGTGTCGACCGGCGTTCAGGAGATCTCGAAAGTATACTGCAACGGTGGTATAAAACCGCCTTGTTCTGCCTCGAAGAAACAGACTACATGAGAACTAGCACAATTCGCCCTGTTCAGGCAATCGCAGTACTTGGCATGTGCTTTCACAATTTCGGGGACTCTGGCTTATACCGTCATCTTTGGAGCTGCGCAATTCGCATCGCGCGGAATCTCGGGCTGGATTGCTCTCATGCTACACATCTCGCTTCAGAGCTAGGCCTCGAAGCTCAAAGGCGCCTTTGGTGGACTCTGATAATTTGTGAATGGTATGTCGGAGTTGTGATCAGAACTGCGATATGTGAGAGAGCCTGTGCTGACTTCTCCCAGGCTTGCGGTTCCTTACTACGTGCCACAAGTAGACGAAGGAGATTTCGATACATCACTTCCTTCGGACGAATCTGATGTTGAAGGCCCTCAACCGGTTTTGTACCACATCTTCATGGCAAGAACCTCGACCGTTTATCACAGATTTAGATCAGCGCTGCGGGAAGGCACACGGTCAGTTTCCGAAATTGTTCGCCTAGCCGATGATGAGCTAGCAGAAGTCATCAACACCTTGCCAGCCCATCTCCAGCCTGATGGTGGCAAAAGCAAGGAAATGCAAGGGTTAGAGATCATTCACCCCTGGATTAAATGGCAACGATTCGACATCAGCCTCGTGCTTCTTCATCATCGGATGCGCATCAACCGATCCCTGCAGAAAGAATGGCTAGCAGCTCCTGGTCTGTATGACTGGGCACGAGCAGTGTGTATTCGTTCTGCTATGGATATCATCTGGATAACCCACAATTGGGATCAGCCAGTCGCAATGCGGAGACAGTGGTAGGTGATGGGATATCACATTGTTTGAAGAGACCCTGACACGTTCTCAAGGGCGTTATCGATGCATATCTTCGTCGCTGCCATCTTCCTCCTCAGAGAATCCCAAATGGCCCAGTCTGGTGCTGAAGTTGACTTCACAGACGAGGTGCAGCTTGCCATTGAATACCTCGACGAGGTCAAATCACGCAACGCCATAGCAGAGAGGGCAGTTGCTATTCTCAGGTCTTCGCTGGATGAAGAAGATTTGGCAGCAGAGTTTCCATGACATCGACTGATATTCATGACTTCTTATGTCTTCCTAGTCCCACCCAGCCTACAGTCCAAAACCAAATGCACGTTTTGCTTCCGCACTCAAATCTTCCAGTCCTACGTATCCCTTGAGTGTGCTTTCGTTCAAATCATTCCCTTCTTGCTGGTCTGGCGGTGGTCTCCCCGCAAGAGATTCGGAAAGTTGCTTCTTCACATATGCTTTGTTATTTGTAGTAGTGGGGCATGCGGCAATGTATAAAACGGATGCATTCTGCGATCCCTCGTGCACTGGATCAACGGCATGGCAGACCTACATCACGACCATTAGTCTCCGCTGACTACAAATCACCGCGAGCAAGACTTACATCAGCATGCCACCAAACAGTATCACCTGGCTCCATCTTGGGCACATGGATGAGGCACTCTTCCAGCCTCAGGTGAGGATGCGACGAGCGACTCAGCCGCTGGCTCTGGGTCTTGAACGTCCCAGGGAAATAGCTAGACTCGTCAAGAGTCCACTTGCTTGCATCCATTACATCCGCAGAGTCGACAGGAGGCTTGAAGAATGGTCTAAGTACCATGTATGCAACGGCACTAGTGACGCTGGGGTAGACGAGAAGTGTACCTTCCCTTGGGGCTGTTCGTGTTAGTGCAGTCCACCCCTGAAAAGAGCGGAAGACCGATGAATGAGCAACGCCTGGATACAACTCTTGGTTGGCGGCTTTACGCAAGCTGAGGTCGTAAGGATCATGCATCTCAGGCTTGCCGGAGAAGATGTTGCCATACACTTCTCTGTATGCCGCATCTGCCCAACGAGCCAAGCTACCAGCGTCTATGTGCGGCCCGAGTCCAAGGAATTCTTGTTGCGGGGGTCTGTCGCGTACTCCATCGTAGTACACCAAAGGGTCTGGGGACGTATCTTCACCGCTTTTGTCGTGCCAAAGCTGGTTGAGGAGGCGTTGGAGTTGAAGGTGATTGGGGTGTGATCTGACGGCATTCTGGGTCGGCGAGTCGTACAGCATCAGCATTGAAGGGGCCTCTTTAGGCCACCCCTGGATTTTGTGCTTGTTTTCGGCAACGTAGTGTTTGAGTACTTCGTAATGCTGAGTTGTCTCGGCCTTGGGAATTACCCCACGAACAACAAAGGTGCCGACTCTCTTCAATTCGTCCCTTTCGGTTTCCGTGAAGCCCTTGTCAAGGAGGTTGTCGGCGTCGAAGACTGGAATAATTGTGCGGCCCTTGGTCACTATCTCATCAGTGACAGCCTTGAGCTGTTCACAAACCCGAAACCAGCTTTCTCTCAGAGCCTCTGCACCATACTGAGATATGACGGCCTTCTTGGTGCTGAAGAAGTCTGAGTCTTTCAGTTCATGGACATCCTTATCGGTGTACTCCGGCCACGCAGGCCACTCTCGGACGCTTCCGGGCATGCTGAAATGGGAAAGATTGCTGCTTCAAGATTTTGGCTGGCTGGGCTTGAATCATGGTGGTTGAAACCTTGAGCACTGAGACCTTAAGTAACTTATCATCCGCCGCCCGCCATCCCGGATTTCCGATGCGGGTTTCCAGCCCCACAATGGCTCATACCTGCGTTTGGTCGCGCCGCCGGCTTGGCCAATGGTTCGATCTGTCAAGACTCGCCCGAGCTCGCCCGAGTGATGAAGCTCATGGGAAAGGTCACATTTCCCCGCGATGGCATTTTGGGATGGGTGCTTTATCCCAGTCGGTAGTTACAAAGTGGGCTTGCGATAGACTCACCCGAGCTCGACCGAAGCCATGAGGCAGCCAATCAACTTGGAGAGATCACAAATCACTACGATTCATAAACAAGGGGATATAACGGTGGTCAAGAAGCCCTGCTTCAACGTGGAGTGGTTATGAATAAAAGTCAGACGATTTGTATCCGAAAACACCGAAGAGCAACATGGGTTTTGAGCGCAAATATGTCTCCAGGTTGGTACCGGCCAACCTGAAGTTGTTGTCACCTTTGCTACTCGCCGTAGCCATTGTGAACTCGGCAGTGAGTACACCATCACAAGACTCGAGAGTCTCGCTAATCATGAGTTAACAGACCCTCGGATACGATGCCTCGGTTATGAACGGCCTCCTTATTCTCCCTTCATATGCCGAATACTTCCACTTAACCCCGGCTTTAGAGGGTCTCAATAACGCTGCATCATGGATGGGAAGCATTCTCGGTGCATTTCTGATGCAGCCTATACCAGACTACTTCGGGCGTCGAAGAGCTATCCTGGTCGCGTCAGTAATAACAGTCGTCGGCATCATTCTCCAAGCCGCAGCCCAGAACATCGCCATGTTCGTCATCGCCAGAATCATTGTCGGTATCGGCTCTGCTATCAGCAACGGCTCTGCTCCGACTCTACTGGGAGAACTTCTGCCTGCTCGAAAGCGTGGCCGAATCCTCGGTCTCTTCTTCTCATGCTTCTACGTGGGAAGCTTGGCCTCTGCCATTGTCAACTACGGCAGCCAAAACATCCAAAGCACCTGGTCATGGCGTCTACCCTCCCTTCTTCAGTTCGTGCCTAGCTTGTTGGCAGTTATCCTGGTGCCATTTGTTCCAGAATCGCCTCGCTGGCTGATTGCCAAAGGTCGTGACGACGAAGCTTTTGAGGTCCTTGTCATCATGCAAGGCAAGGGCGTCGAAGATGTGCAGCAGGGCCACGAGACCTTGCATGAGATCAGAACTATCATGAGGAAGGAGGAAGAGGAATACCCTCGAAACCCGTGGAGAGAGATAGTGTCCACGCCCGCCAATCGGAAACGCCTCGCCATCCTTTGCACATTCGGTCCCATGATCAACATGTTTGGCAACTTCATCATCTCGTAGGTACCATCCGTTTATTTTCGTTTCTTCAACTTTGCTTACCTGTTGCTAGGTCTTACCTCACCAAGATTTTGAGTCAGGCTGGCATCAGAGACACAGTAAAGCAGACCCAGATTCAGGTCATTCTGAATTGTTGGTCTTTTGCTGTCGCGGTCTTTGGCAGCTTCATGCTCGACATTTTGGGTAGAAGGAATCAGACCTTCATTGGCGTGGGCGGTATGATTGCCATGCTCTATACCGTAGGCGGCCTTATCAAAAGTAAGTTCTGAACTTGACCTTCGTGCTATCGACCGACAGCCACAGACTCGCTGCGAACACGGTATAGAGCCAGCGACTAACGCCTCCATAGCATATGGCGAATCCACCAATCAATCCGGGATCTATGGAACAATTGCAGTCATCTTCCTATTCCAAGGGTTTTACGCTTTTTCTATCACGCCGATGACTAGTTTATACCCCACTGAGGTTTCGCAGTACAAGCTCCGAGCTACAGGAATCGCAATCTTCCGCATGTTGGACTCTGGATTCGGGCAAGTTTACTATATCGTTCCCATCAAACCTCTTGCTAACATAGCGCAGTCTGCTGGCCTCATTTACTATGGCATACGCCATGGCAGATTTGGGGTGGAAGTTTTATTTCATTAATGCTTCCTGGAATGTGGTTTTCCTTATCATAGCATACTTCACGTTTGTGGAGACCAAGGGACTTAAGCTTGAAGAAATTGCGGCCATGTTCGAAGGACCTAGTATTCTAGAGGCGACCATGGAAGATTCGGCCTCACAGGACATTGGGATCACTGCGAAAGGGATGCAGAATATTGATACAAAGTCTTTGTAGGTGTGATACGTCAGGTCTGGGAATTGAAGAGTTGAGAGAGAGAGAGAGACAGGGAGAGATCATGAAAAGCTATCTTCCTTAAGATCTTGGGCATTCCCTCCAGATACAAGTTTTGTCACTCAAGACTGACCCTCAACTTGGGCGAGAACCGCATCCATCTCTTTTGAAGTTGGAAGATTGACAACCATTAGGTAGAGAGCATCTTGTCGCATCAACTTCTTCAGCGGCCGGTTATTCTTCCGCTTCTCGCGAGCTTCCTTTCCAAATTTCGGCTCCCTGCCTGAGTCTTCGAAACGTTGCTGTCGTCTCTGCTTCAGACGTCCAATGGGGCCCTTGTGGCTCTCAGTCGAATTGGAAGCTTCTGGTCCTTCTTCTTCAGACGAGGCTTCCGGCATGAGCTTCGAGTCAGGATGTTCTTTCCTGAATCTGTCCGTAGCCTTTCGGTCGTAGTACTTTGAGATGGAGTCTCCAAACTTCTTCACCATGTTTTGCTTTTGCCCCTCATTCATCTTATCGAGTTCAGGAAAGACCAGCGGCGCTGGCTCGGGTATCTCGGCCTCGCTCTTCGTCGTGGTAGATGACGAGTACAGCAACTTCTTCCACTTGCTCTGTTTCTCACTGCCTTCCACGGCCTGGGTGATGTTTGAATTCAAATCGACATTTTCTACGACTTCGCTGCTGGACGGCTTGTACTTGACAATAAGAGCATACAAGCCCCGAGGTTTGAAGAAGTTTTCGTTCATGACTTCGAGGTAGTTGTTTTGTTTGTAGTTCACGTAGCCCCGGCGAGACGTCTCGAGCCCCGTCTGCACCGCGAGCGTCACAAGCATTGTAATAGGCGCGAACCCACCAACGACGGTGTGGGCGAGATCAGCGCCCATGACGCCGGCGTTCACAACCCCGAACCACGGGCTTCCTTTGATGCTGCTCTCGAAGCCATCTAGGAACTCGAGCCAGGAAGTTTGATCGATGCCGCACTCTTCTAGGACTGGGGCATAAGCTCGCACGAAACCGCGATGTCTAGCCTCGGGCCGACGTTGAGGGAGTATGACTGGCATTGGGAGATGATGCCTTTCGCTTCCGAGGTTAGATGCCTCTGGTGGTGGATGTTGGACGATGAACTGTGCCAGCATTCCCTCGATATCTCCGACTGGTGCTCCATGTTGATTGCCGGAGGACTGTGATAGAGCGTGCTGGGCTTCGTCCAGCGATAGGGCCCAATCATCGTCAACTTCGGAATCATCACCCGTTGCCTGCTGTTGGGCTACTTTTGTAGGACCAGATGCGACTGATGATCCTGCTTGGGCCGTCTGAATGGGCACATTGTTTTTCTGTTGCGCCGCTGATGGGTGTTTCTGATCTCCCTGGAATTTCTTTGCGGCATCGACAGCGCTGCCGACGATTTTCGAGATCGGCCCCCGGCGGTTCAACATGTTAGCAGCGGTATCGGCACGGTGAACTAAACGGTTGATTGAGCTAGCTCTCAGTCGAATGTTATATTTGTCACCCTAAAGCCGAAAGAAATCTCAGAGAAACTTGCACGAGTCTAGTTTTTTCGCACGGCAGTCTGTACCCGATATGACATGGCTATAAAGAGATGAGCATTCCCCGCGACTGAACGTGTCTCTCAGACGACAGCCTTCACGATTCAGAGAGCTGACGAGAGAGTTTAGCGTAGGATTTCAGGCGGGGTAACGAGACGAAAACCCCCCAAATGCCTGCTGTCTCTGGCGCAAGCCACCTCCAGCCCTCTGATTACTAGCATGAAGGCATACTGTCGACGAACCAAAGAGCATCAGATTTTGGCCGCAAATGGCCCCCAAGTGACATTTTCTCGTATGCCATACCTACTCCGTGGGGGAAAATCAACGCAAGCGAAGAAGACTGTCGTGCATAGAATTGAGTTTGTTCGGAGAAAAGAAGATTGGCGTGCCGCTGATCAGGAACAGCAGATGAACCCATTGGACAGGGTACATGGGTCAAACCGATCACAGAAGCCAGGGAACGAAGACACAAGCGGCAGGCAATTGCAGCATGGTTAAGAGTCAGGGCAACAGCTTTGCTTGGTGATGGTCTCGAGGACCACGTAGCAAACGATCCTGAACGGCTCATATCCCTGGTTCCGTCCGTTGAGCAAGGCTCAGCTCTCAAGGACTAAGATTGAGCTTGTTTGCCTTAATGTTCATATTGGTTGCACAACCGCGTCATAATTGGGCTTTACCTCCACACAATTGCCATCGGCTATTCTCGTCTCGAAACCCCTCCTTTAGTAGCACTAACCTCACAGACGGCCATTGTTGGCCGTGCAATTTCCAGGATTTCAGTCAAGGGCTTCGAGCCTTCCACGAATGAGAGACTCTCGACGCGTCAGCCGGTGCCATCGACTGGATCTGAAGCGTCAGAAGCGTCAACACCGACATCTGCACCCAGCAGATCCCCATTCATCAGACAACGCCACATATGACAGCCACTGTGGCACCAGCTAAACCTGAAATTCCTGGGGTAACGTAACAGTGTGGCGAGTGTTCTCGTGGCGCCCCTCCTGAATGACGACTGCCAATGGAGGGACATCCCACATCGTGAGTGGAGAGCCTGTTTCCCTGTTTTCAAGGACGAACCTCCTCGGATCCGTGTGCCGGAGCGCGTCCAAGACCGGAGACAAGCTTCCTACTACTGCGGGAGCGGATTGAAGCTCGATCACACATCCCCGCAATTCACGTCATGAATCCCTCCCTCGCCGTCATGAAGGTGCTTCTCGAACCGAAGTTTTGCGCTCGGGATGTGATTCTTTTGCCAGCGGAACTCCACATGAGCTCATAGCAACACAATTGGGAGCTGAGACATGGCCGGCTGATGCTGCGAGGACGGCGGCAAGATGGTCTGGACCTCTGGGCTAGAGAACTTGAGCAAGTGACATGACGTTGGGAATTGGATCAGAATGAACGAACATCGTGTCTCGTGAAGAGTACTTGAAGCTGTCTGTCCCTCGGGTAAATCGTCTCAGAAGAAAACTGCACAGCACAATTTGATACCACCAAAACATCACAATCTACTTTGATACCCCAATAATTGAGCATCAGTCCTTTATTTCACCATCATCACCAACATTGCTTTACTACCTCTACAGCTTCAATAAGTCAGTCAGCAATCATGGGTTTGGGAGCTAAGATCAAGAACGCTCTCCACAGTGACGACCACCCTCAAAAGACCACATATGAGGGTGAACAGCCACCCGGAGCATTTCCCTCCGACTCTACCACAGCTGGAACCACCAAACACACTACTGGTGGATACACTGGAGGAACTACCGGTACCACAGGCACCACCGGAAGCCATACAACGGGTACCACCGGCACTGGCACTCATCACACCAGCAACACCACCACTGGCTACAATGATCCCGATGGAGTTCACGGCCCTCACTCCGGAAGAGCTGCAAACAAGGTTGATCCCAGAGTCGACTCGGATCGCGACCACCGTGGTGCTCCTACTGCAGGCTTGACCGGTAACAACACCTATGGCAATACCTACGACAACACCACCAGCACCGGTCACGCCGGAGGCCTGCACAGCAACCCTCACGGCACTACTGGAGGTATTGGAGGCGTCGCCGGCAACACCACCACCGGCTACAACGATCCCGATGGAGTTCACGGCCCTCACTCCGGAAGAGCTGCAAACAAGGTTGATCCCAGAGTCGACTCGGACCGTGACCATCGCGGTGCGCCTGGCGCCGGCCTCACCGGCACCCACCGTCCTCACGACTCCGGTGTCGAAGTCGCCCACGGCGTTGGGCACAACAAGCCCTACAAGGGCGACTACCTTGCCAACGCCGAGCGTTCCAACGCTCAAGACCCCTACTGGGGTGACGTCGGCCGAGATGGTGCTGCCGTCAATAAGGATCTCCCTCTACGTCCCAATGAGTCTGCCGTTGGCCACGGAGGTCCTCAGGCCGTTGGCGGAGGTCAATACAACCCTGCGGCGTCCACTCACCACGACCCTGCCTCCAGCGTCGACCGCTCCATGGAGGGCCGCGACTTCACTCACCCCCACGGCTCCGGCGCCGGAGTCGGTAGTGCCGGCGGTGACCCCTACAGCGGTGTTCACAACGCTGCCCACAACCCTCAGGCAGCCCTGGCCGGCGGCAACGTCAACGACCCGTACGATACTCGCATGAGAGATAGAGACATGGGCCGTGAGCGCACCGGACACGGAGCTGCTGGTGCTGGCATCGGCGCCGGCGTTGGCGCTGGTGCTGCCGTGGCTGCTGGCCAAGCTGCCCACAGACATCACCGCGATGACATGCACGAGTCTGGCATCGCTGGCACCAACACTGTTGGCGGCGTCAACTCTCCCGTTGGCCACAGCACCCACGGAACCCACGGCGCCATCACTGGAACCCACGGTGGTGTCACTGGCACCCATGGCGGTGTTCACGATCACCACCGCTCCAGCCTGACTGGCAACGAGCCTGGTGTCCCCAAGTCTAGCATGCTTGACCCCTACAACGAATCTCCTACTAGCACCCACGGCACCCACAGCAACGTTGCTGGCGCTGGACTCGGAGGATACACTGGATCTTCTGGTTTGAACCAAGGTATGCAATCTTCCCATGTCCCTGGCACCACCGGCCTGGGACCCCGAGGAATGGGCCCTGACCATTATGGCCCAGGACATGACGGAGCCAAGGTTTTCCACACCTGCACCAGGTGCGGCGAGGACAATGATATCAGCAGATATTTCAAGAAGGATGCTGTTTACCGTATGAACTAAGGAATTTGATGAGAGCGAGCATTGTACCTATATCATGTTGTATTTATAGTTAACTCATAATGATCATGACCTTAATGGCACTATTACATTAGCCTTACCTTCCTCAATGTGCCCCAAAACGCGCGGTGATCTCTATGCCATGACACTTCATGCGCTCAACTCCACCACCGCTTTCGATTGAATGAGTCGCTGAATTTCATCCCTGAAACTTTCATTGCCTTCCATGACAGTTCATACATTTCCCCACGCTTGGCCATTAGTATACAGGTTTGGATACAATGGAACACCGAAAACAATTACGAACGTCTCTTCCAGCGTATCCGCATGTCTCTGTTCGGCGGTACAGCTCCCGCTCCAACATACGCCTTGTCATTCTCAGGCGGTGTCTCGGAGTGCGACCCATCAAAGTAGACCCAATCTTCAAATTCGATATCAAAACGAGACGCAATCATGGCGACGGCCAGCATTATCTCCTGCTTGGCAAAGAAACGCCCCGGACACATGGACACACCACCACCTGCGACATATGTTAGTCATGGCCATGATAATGACTGAGCACTGTCGGCTCACCGTAGGGGAAGAAGTCGCTCGGTCTTCCAGCCATGGAAAATTCCTTGATTTTCTGGGCTTTGCCATTTTCATCCTCCTTCTCGACGTGCTTGATGTGACGTTCCGCCCAGAATTCCGAGGCAGGGTGCCCCTCGACACCCCAGACCGAGTCTTCACGGTGACCAATCTGCGTCGGTGCTTGGATCAGAGAGCCTTTACTAAGATGATAGCCATCTAATTCCATGGGCTCCATGACTTCTCGGGTGATATTGATGGACACATGCATTCGCAGTGTTTCAACATAGATGGACTGAAGCAAGGGGAGGGTAACAAGCTTTCCCACGTCAAAAGTCGGCTTTCCTGTCTTAGGATCCGTAATGGTAACCGCGTCGACTTCATGGCGGACTGCCTGGAAGAGCGCCCGGTCTTTGATGACTTCCATAACGGCCCAAGCTGTCTGGGGAACGGAGTTTGAGTTAATACTACAAGACTCAAGTCAGTCAGCGTGTTTACCCAACCAATTCAAAGACCGGGTGTCGCACCCTGTAATACTTCCTATGTACATCCCAGCACGCGACTGAAGAGAGAATCCCTTCTTCTGCCAAAATCTCGTATGTTCACGTTGGAGTCTCGAGCCAAAAATCGGTTCCCAGTCCGCATCAGCATCCGGTCCGTTCCAGTCGAACTTCGTCCACGCGTCCGTCACGAAATCCGACATCATGGAGAGAGTCTTGCGCTGAATCTGTTTCGGCCGGGGATTGATCCAAGTTGGAAGGCCGTACATGAGCTGCATCGCGATCGTATCGAATTCCCAAAACATGTCGACGAATTCCGGATGATCCTCAATCAGTTTTCGCCCTGCAAGTGCTATTGTCGCAGCTTCTGCCATATCTTTTTTGAGATATTTGAACAGTTGCAAGGTTTTCCACTCATCACGCGGCTGCTGGTCGAGTTTCTCGCCGAAGAAAGTGATGAATGACTCTGCTAACCTTGTGGTAGCCTCGGCGCGAAAAAGATGCTCGTTGAAAACGTGATGCAAGTCAACCCAGAATCTCTGATTCTCAGGCATGCTCTCAGTGCCGGCGGCTGGTGTCTTCAGACGACCAGATCTGTCGTTGTACATCACCGTCACGTCCTCGTCGGTCATCCCCTGCACCCGGCCATTGACCATGACGATGAACTTGTCCGAGCTAAGCGTGTTGTTAGAGCTGTTGCGAAACAGCTTTTGCACATTGTGAGACCCTGCAACTAGATACACAGTGTCGGCACCGAGGTTGAACTTCACGACGCTGCTTTTCTTTAATGCTTCGGTTGCGCGCTCGAGGAATCTGCTGTTGTCTGTGATGTACTGATATGTGTTCGAGACATAGGGAATGAGGCCCGGCAAGCTCGGAGGCTCGTTTGCTTTTGGTCTGAGTACATGGCGGAAGAAAGCTACGCCTAGCAGTGGTAGCAATAGCCATGTGATGATGGGCGATGTCGCATGTTGTTGGAGAGACTGCAAAAGTCCCTGGGATTGGCCAAGCACGCCAGATGCATTGGTTGAAGCCATCACAAGCCGTTTCATAAGCGATAATCCCAATCACTATGCGAGGTGCTTGATGTTGGAACGAAGCAGTGATATTAGTGAGGGGTAGCTTGACTGATAGCTTTGTCTCGGAGACTCACAATTTCATCATCCGAAGTTTGGCTTTGAGTTATCCCGCCGGTGCGTATCGCTAAGTTGGGAACGTTACACTAAGCCCTTTCAAATCGTCATGAACATGGATGGCCAAGGTTCAAGCTGAAGAATCGAAGGCATCATGCATGCGGCCGGCCAATCTTCTACGAGAACCTTAAAGGTCAGGAACCTGTCGACTGCATGTACGGCAAACACAACAGCATCTTCGATTGGGTGTGTTCCCGCTCGTCTCTCGTTTAGACACAAATAGTTAGACAGTTTGACAAAGGATTGCGCTAGAGCCGAATGCCACCAATCCCAGCGCTGATAAATGCAGCAGGGTAAGCGTCATTTTGATGGTACTCCATGACTATGATCGGGCGAACGTAGTTACTGCACCGTAGACCACATCTCATTCTCCGTCTACGTTACTTGTACACTTGGAGAGTGTTCTTCATGCATCCTTGGTTGCCTGCAAGTGCTCGGTATTCGTTGCAATGCTTTGCTCCAAAGAGATCCAACCAGGCCTGCCCAGTCTCTTCAGAATGCCTTCTGCCCTTGCAACTGGCTTCACTGTGACAGGGTACTCTTCATCGTGGAAGTTATCGGCAAACTTCCTTCCCGGATTCTGCCTCCGAAGGATGTCCAGGACGATATCCCAATTCATTGGATAGGCAAACGCGAAGATGCGTTCGCCCTTGACATCAGGAAGAATAGCCGCTGCAACGTGCAGAGCAGCATCATCCTCGACATCAATGAAGTAGTGGGGAAGATGTCAAGGCTCCGGGAGAGTCTTTCCCTCAAAGAGCTCGACGATAAAGCCGAATGATGATGAGCCTCCAGTTTGAGAAGGCTCGATGCTTCTTCCAAAGTTGAAGTCAGGAACAACTATCAATAAGTGAAATGGTTGTTAGCATATCCAGCCTTATCAAGCTCGCTTATCAAAATCGAGACTTCTTCTCTGTCTCATTGAACGTCGACTCAACTTACTTGAATCTACCACGATATCTGGCCGCTTCGTTTTGTTCTCCTCGTAGAACTTCCAGATGCTTTGCTCTTGCTATATTTTACTTGCGCCATAAATCGCTCCGCCGTGTTCAATGCCCCATGGAGGAGGTGCCCAAGCCAGTTCTTTGGCGTCGTGGCTATAACTTTCTACATCCACCGTTTGCCCCTTAAGAGCAAAGAAGTTTTCTTTCTTGAGTGGCATAAGTGTCGAGGCTGATGAAGTCAGAATGAACCGTCTCATACTCTGTTCCTTGTACGCTGCCTGGATAGCAACCATGCCACACGTGACGGCACCCCCAATCACTTCGGCTGGGTCGCCGTTGAAGTCTACGACGGTCGCAGTGTGCACAAGTATGGATACCCCTGTGGAACTGAGTTAAAACCATAGTACTAGGAGAAGTGTAGGCAGTTATACGTGTCCAAGGAAGCACGAGGTCCTGGAACTTGATGTTGAGCATCACTCACCTTTCATAGCCTCATCATACACGGCATCAACTTGCATATCTGGGACAATATGAAGTTCGAACTTCCCTGTTCCATACCTAATCTCAAAGTGTGGGACAAGCCAAGCACTCTTCTTCGGGTTGCGGACCGTTCCGCGGACCCTATAGCCATTTTGAATGAAATGGTCTGCAATGTGAGACGCAATGTAGCCATTGGCACCAGTGATTACAGCGATCAATCCCTTGGGGACGACAGGGTTTTCAATGGACGACATGAGCGACTTGGCAATTGCAAGTATGGCGTGTGTCTGTGTTGAAGCTCGAGTTCAGACGTCCTAACGAATGAATGAGTTTAGATGCGTGCGATATGGTGCGAAGGCAAGGTGATGGAGAAGTCTGATCTGGAGGTAAATCACATGGCACAGTCTTATACGATCTCTATTAAGTAGTATGCAGCTGCCATTCAAAACGATTTTGTCTACGCGGCCGGTTGGAAAAAACAAAGATCTCCGTCAAGTGGGTTGGTGACTCGGGCTCGACGTGATGCCTCCGAAACACGGAGCGGAGGCAGTGGGTTTTGTCCGTCATCACCTCGAGCCGCAAGTCGAAAGAAGTTGGCTCTTGTACTCTTGAACGACGGATCTGAAGTAACATCGTTCCATCGACCCAACCTTCCTTGACTTACAATGAGGGAAGCTAAAAGTAGCATAGCTTGTGCCAGCCCCGAATGCTGTTCGTCCCAAATTGAAGCTCGGATTGGCAAGTTCTTCTTTTCGTTCAAACTCTTCGAGTATTCCTGGCATTATACGTCGACTATATTTCCATATGAGATTGCGGGGACGATTCAAGTCCCATTGAGCTTTTCAACATCCGAACGGCGTGGGTACAGGGTCAGCAGCTCGTCTTGGGTTCCGTGGCCGTCATTGGAAAAAAGAATGATGCATAAATTTGCGAGAAAGCGTAGGAGTTGATCTCAGCGCCAAGTTGCACAATAAAACCTCCTCCCTCTCTCCTGAATATATTGTTGATCTCCCGTTATCTATCTGAGGGCGTTGGGTTGAGCACGATGCTACGATAGCGTGTGGACTGGATGCACCGTAAGCTGCGTCATGATGCATGACACCCTTGCATAGCTGAACACCAGCTGAGGTTAGCTCAGAGCAGCGTACTAAGTAAGCAAGGCTGTGATAAATCCGGCCATCGCAAAGTTCATCAGCACCAAAAACCTCGAGCGTCAATTACGACAGGTCGCCGCAATGTATTGGTCTCTGAGCATTGTGTAGCAGATGGTGAGCCCACCAACGAATGGCCTTCAACACCAGAAGACTCCATGTTTAGGAACTCTCCATCATCGTCGAAACCATGGAGAATAAGCCCAAGCAGATCCGTTTCGAAGGGGATGGGTTTGAGGACTGGTCAGACCCACCGAGCTCGCCTCAACCGTCACCAACGCCCAGTGTCAGCTCTTTTCAACGCGACTCTCGCCCTAAACGGGGCACGACGCGGATTCCTTCACGAATTGTTTCCAAGCGTGCATTGATACACCTTGGATACTCCTTTGCAGAAGATGGGGACACAGTCATTGTTCAGCTGGCACTCGGACAGGATCACATTGAGGAACTTCTTGAGCTAAGCAAAAGGATCCGAAGCTCAGACCAGGGGACTTCGGAAGTAGGCGATAGTGGCGAGGCAGACCACCCAGATGAAGATGGAGGTTTTGACTGGATCAATGTTAACGCACCTGATACGGAGGCGCCGCACCTGAGCACTGAGAAAGGTGAAGGATTCCATGAGCATGAAGACAATGAATCGACAATAGAAGACACGGATTGGGATTGGAACGATCTTGAAGGTCCAGTGATCTACTCTGGGGTTCTTAACCTGAACAGCACAAAATCATCTATGGACAATGACATGAACTCTACCACCGGAAGACTCTTAGCTTGGAACCAGGAGGAATCAGATCTCATCAATGGAGCTAAGACACAGCTCAATACAGTACACGCAGCAGAGTTCTACATGGATCGCGCCGGCAACCAAAAGGTCACGCTTGCCTGCCCCCAAGACTATGAGTTTGGGGCTACGGGCGAATCCCTTGTTCGCTTGAGATGGCTGTGAGCATAACCCAGGTCATTGAGCGAATGCCAGATCTAATCAGAAAAGCTCTAGACACGTACAGGCCGGGTCCTTGAACATTGCGACTATGGAGGTAAGCTCTGAAGAATCATAGGCAATTTTGCATGTGGTCATTGACTGACAAACGAAGACTTTGATATCAGACTGTCCAAACATATCTCAATCACTAAGACTAGTAGCACTTACAGTTCTGAGAGAAGTCGTGACAAAATGTGAGAGGTCTTCAGAAAATGGCTCTTATCTCGAACCGGGCTCAATGATTCAGTACATCGGGAGATATAACAGCTCACTTGGGATATATGAAGATGAGGACACCTCTGATACCGAACCGGTAGTCTTCATCTCTTCACCTCACATTATTCTTACCGACAGGCCCTCCGCCAAAAGATTTCACGGGAAGCACTACATGAGGAGTCTTCGTGAAGTTCTCTACGGTTACGACGACGAAACACACTCCAAGCATGACTCTCCTGGCCGAAAATTCAAGCTTGACGAGAAAAGGCAACCTCAGTTGAAAGTTCCTCAGCTTTGGTCATTGATAGTTGGTGCGGGTATGGTATCCTTCCGTTTTAGTTACCAATTGCGCACGTAGACGGCATTTACTAATACCTCTCGACCGTGGTAGATTTGATCATCACCTTCTCAGAACTCTCGCCGCAGGAAATGCAACAAAATCTGATCACTGTCGACCCAACAAGATCGTCTGCGGGACTATACACCGTCAGACTCATTGACGAAAAGGATATGTGCCGGTATCATGTTGTCATTAAAGCGGATTGGAAGTATGCGGTGAGTTTCGATACACCTCAGCTTCGTTTCACTAGTAGTTTTGCTAACACGTCGCAGGACTTCCTCAAGCATGCGGTGGCACTAGCACTCAAGGGTCAAGGTTGTGTGAATGCAGCTTCGTTCGTGCTAGTCAATGATTATTGGGGTATGATCACTGCGGACATCTGGTTACACTTACTCGCGAGCGAGACCATCGAAGACTATGTCTTCGGGATCCGTGAGAAGCACGAGGCACAGCGGAGACCCAATGAGGAGTTTCACGCCTTGTCAGAGAAGCTTCTCACGGCGGGAAGTCGGAGCAGCCTAGGCAGTCGCAGAGCCTCGCGCCGAAGGTAAGAAACGCGTAAGGCCTTCCACCTTTTAAACACTTGACTGAGGCATTTTCTAGTTCCTTTCGATCAGAATCCAGAACCACAAATTTTGACACAACAGACATCGATATGCAGATGGTTCTGCATCCTGGCATGTGGGAATATGGCGGCGACTCTCTCAGTCCTTCGGAAGAAGGAGTAGAAATCGGTAGCGATATGTTTGAGACTTCAACTATGTCGTTTGACTCGCACTTGGGTGTCGACAACTCTTCCCTTGACGGTACCGTTGATTTGACCACATCCATGTCAGAGACAAGCTTCAGGCTGAGAAACATGGCGAATTTCGAATCCTCCATCTCGCTTGGGGGCGTTGAGGCACCCAAACTTTTCAAACTAAGAAAGGAAATGAGTGATTCATATCAACAGAATGGAGAAGTACGTGGAACCATATGTGCATTCCATTCTTGACCATGAGGCGCTGACGATGAGTCTTTGTACAGACTGAGAGCCCACAATTGCAGCCTGGTCAGTCAGCTGGCAGTATGGCTCAAGAAAGAAGATTTGTTCTGCCACAGAGACGAAGGGCTCGATCTATGTCAACTGGGACTTTGGAATCTCACTTGACACCTGACATTAATAGGTCACGCCGCAGACGAAGCCGAAGCCGTTCGATGACTCCAAGCTTTACCTATGCTCGTGACTCACCACTGGAGGCAGAGCCGCTTCCGTATTGGTTCGATGATCAGGAGCAGTTCAGGAGAACTCGAAGTGACGCAAGCTCATTTAATGGCTCGTGGGCTAGAGAAACTCCCGATCGTGAATTTGGAACGAGCTATTTCTCTGCAGGGGTCCCGTCAATAAACTTGGCAGATCTGGACTTTGTGCCATTCCTTGCCTGGAGGCTGACTTGGGACGATGATAAGAGGCCGCAATCTGAGATTGAAAAGACCCTTTCTCAGCTATTGGGCAACCTGAATATGACCATCGAGTTGGACAAGGTTGGAAAATGGTACAAGGCTTCGTTCGAATGCACCAAGGGCGAGCTTACCCAGCGACTGGCTACCTTGTTGCAACTGTCTCCGCCCAGCACAACTGGAAAGACGACTGAGAGCATGGCGCAGCACTATGCCGGGGCGGATGTAGATAAAGAACTCAAGTCTGGAGCTGACGCCATTCCACACCAACCAGATCTGGAGGACAGCATCAAACTTGAGCAGTCTACCGGAAGCCTCGTAGCCCAAGCTTCGACGCTGTTTGGATCCACCGAGAACGAAGATAACGAGTTCGACCCGAAACTTGGAACCAGTACACACTTCCGCCAAGATTGCGGTCAAAACCATGAGGTATTTCTGCTGTCAAGAATCTTCAGCGTTTCCCAGAGTCTCCTGGGCGCTTTTCTACCCAATGAGGGGCGTCTAGAACATCATCCGGTTTGCAAACGGTTCTGGGGTTCGGTCGATGCAATATTGAGGGTAGGAGCTTCGGGCTAAAATGCATGTAGTTTCCTGAACTGACATCATTCAGGGGCTTCAGTGGTCGATTGACGAGGCCAAAGGAACCGACCAGCTGTCCTGGGTCGTGACACGGCCAAACACGCCCTTTCCCCCAGGGGAGTCAGCCTCGATTTCGGGCTCAAAAGCTCTCGCAGACTGCGATGACTGCAGTAAGGTTTTGAAGTATCCGTCGCCAGAAGAAGCACTCGACCATTGGCACAAGGTCCACATGACCTCTCCATGTCTGCACCATGCAAAAAAGGGCCGGGTATTCGATGATCCCTGTTTTGTCTGGGTACGCCGCCAAAAAGCCGAAGAATCTAAAACTCTAAGATCGAGGGAGGCTCCAAGAAACGAAGTGGTTTCGTGTCTAGAGTTGTTCTACGAGGGATTACAAGACATGGTTGACCAGACAGAGGAGCTCCATAAGCTGGTCATGAGCGTGACTAGCTTGGGAGACTCGGTCAACTGCCATGACAGCCGACCTCACCTTCCTAACAGCATCGTTGAGGCCTTTGAGCGGATAATAGGCTTGTTCGTCTTGAAAGCTAAAGAGATTTCCTGGATGAACAGACTCGCTGCTACTCATGATTCGTTACACGGCCGTCATGCTGAGCGACGCTTGATGGATCTTAAGAGAAATGGAGCAGCAATCTCAGAGCGTGTTCGAAATCATCTTGACCGAGCGAAGGAGGATATCATACTCCTCGGAACCAGCAAGGGCGATATGGATAGGATCATCATCGCCCCGATAGGCCCTGAGTTCCTGGCAGTCGCGCTGATCAGCAACCTGCAGAACAACATCTCCAAGCAAGGCACCGCTGAAACGGTCGACCTCATCAGTCACTACCGAAGCCTCACCGCCAAACTCCGGTTCAACACCAACCGAAAGCCGAAACGGCAGGCATTTGTAGAAATCCATGCTCTTGAAGAGGAGTTGGAGGCTTTACAAACGGTGGTCGCTTCTCAACAAGGCCTGCTGAGAGCGTACCAGAGACTCTTTTCTCCCGTGACTTTCAAGTATCCCACGACCGACTGGATCTACTACAAAGAAAGGAAGTCGTTGTTCAAGCTTGAGAGCAAATGTGTGCGCAGACAACAACGTCGCTTGGCGGAACGCGACAGGGCGCTTGGACTTCTTCGGAAGAAGGTGAGGGTGTTGAGAGACGAGACGAAGCAGATAATTGAGATTCTCGACGAGGGTCATGGGAAGGCGATTCGAGTGTTCACCATAGTGACGTTGTTCTTTCTACCATTGTGAGTATCCTCGGGTTCGCTTGTGCAATCCCGACTAATCGTGGTTTTCAGATCATTCGTTACGAGCTTCTTCGGTATGAACACGACCGACATCAGAGATACCAACTACGACCAGAAAATCTTTTGGATATCGGCCCTCCCCGTCACGTTCGGTGTCATAGGCTTAGCATTTTTGTACGGCTACCAGTGGGATGCGATCGCGGCATGGGCAAACGGGACCCTGGAAACGGCCGAAAAAAGTGTAATTCCCCATGATTTCTTAAACGAGGAGGTGCCGACTTGGACGAGTACAGCGGAACCAAAAGAAACTTGGCTGCCAAATCACGGACGAGCCAGTGTGACCGGGTGGAGGTATAGAATGTCGTACCTGTCCGCACGACAACGGCAGAGAAAGGGCAGAGTTTCTAGGAAGAAGACGGACGATAGCCTCTTCCGGCCATAGCATTCACAAACAAAGCCTCATGAAGCCATGCAGACTTGGAGAGAGGTGGGTGGTATTGAGGCTGAAGCTAAGCGGGATGCTAGTTATGATTTTCGAATAAATAAAACTCAATGGACATGGTATCTTTAGCGTGCCGCAGGTGGCTTCTTCGTATCCTCCTCTGCCTGCTCGCGTTCCTGGCCATCCGCATCGAAGAGGGTCTCTTGGGCTACACAAGACGTCAGTCCGGCTACCACAATCAAATAGAACGAGCGACCTACCACTCCAGAGCTCAGCATAGAGTCCACCCCTGTCAATAAGCTCACGATGGGTGCCCATCTCAGCGACATTACCCTCCTTCAGCACGATAATGAGGTCCGCGTCAAAGATGGTGCGCAGTCTGTGGGCCACGAACACACTGGTCCGTGCCTTCTCACGCAGAATGCTGTTAATGTTGAGCATGAGGGCCTGCTCGGTATGGGTATCCAACGCGCTTGTGGCTTCATCGAAGAAGAGCAGAGGCGGGTCCTTAAGAAGAAGTCTGCTGACGGCCAGACGCTGCTTCTCTCCGCCGGAAATCATCAAGCCGCGCTCTCCCACCTTGGTCTGGTATCCATCGGGAAACCGTTCAATGATTTCGTGGATGCGTGCGCGCTGAGCCGCGGCGATGACGCGCTCTGGGGGCGCGGACATGTCGCCATATCGGATGTTGTGCTCGATCGTATCGTTGAAAAGCGGGGTGTCCTGAGGGACGACACCGATGGCCCGACGGAGGGAGTCCACCTGGACTTGGCGGATATCCTGATCGTCGATAAAGATGCGGCCAGACTGCGCGTCATAGGAACGGAAGAGAAGTCGGAGAAGGGTAGACTTGCCGCATCCACTGGGACCAACGACGGCTACCTTTTTGCCGGCGGGGATGGTGAGAGACAGGTTGCGTAGGATGGGCCGATCGGGGTGATAGCCAAAGTTGACGTCTTCGAATCTGATCTGTCCACCCTTGGATAGAACCAGAGGCTTCGCATCCGGTTGGTCCTTGATTGTGACGTTTACCTTTTGCAGGTTGAAGAGCGTTTCCATGTCGAGCAATGACTGGCGTAGCTCTCGGTACACAGAGCCGAGAAAGTTGAGAGGCACAGAAAGCTGGAATACAAGCTGGTTAACCATGACCAGGTCACCAACGGTAAGCGTGCCTTGGGCAACACCGCTGGCAGCCAGATACATCATGGCTGTGAGGGCCGAGGAGAAGATGATGTTCTGTCCACTGTTGAGGAACGCTAGCGAAGTCGCAACCTTGATGGAGCTCTTCTCGTAGGCCTGGAGTGCCTGGTCGTATCTCGCGACCTCGAATTTCTCGTTGTTGAAGTACTTGACAGCCTCATAGTTGATCAAGGAGTCCACAGCAACGGTGGATGCCTTGTTATCAGCCGCGTTTGCTTGTCTCCTAAACTTTGTTCTCCAAGCTGTTGTCCAGATGGTGAAGGCGGTGTACCCAACCATGGTAAGCACCGTAATGGCGGCGAACTTGGCACCATACTGGTACGTCAAGATACCGCAAACCATTGAGATTTCCATTGCAGTCGGGAGAATGTGGAGAACCATGCTCGTCAGCAAGAAGCTGATACCCTTGGTACCTCGGTCGATCGCCCTTGTCAGTCCACCGGTCTGCTTGGACAGATGGAAGCTGAGGTCCAGCCGCAGCAGGTGATCAAAGACGTTGCAAGCGACTCGGCGGATAGCCTTCTGGGCAACGGAGGCAAAGACGGCGTTGCGGAGCTCCTGGAAGATTGTCGCGCCTATCCTCGTCGCACCATATGCCAAGATCATACTACCCGCTATTGTGACAGCCGTACCCCCGGTTGCGCCCAAGTCGATGTTCATGGAATCCACAATGCTCTTGAAGTAAAAGGGAACCTGCACGTTCAAGACTTTGGCGCCAATCAACAAGGACACAGCCAATCCGACGCGAAACTTTGTGCTCAAGCTATCCTTGGGCCACAGGTATCGCGACATCTCCTTCATAATGGCCCAGTCGGCCTTGCGCTGCTCCTGTGTAGACTTTTCGGGTGTTCCGAGAGGGTCGACGGCAGCACTCTTCTTCGCCTTGGCAGAACCTGCCTTGAGCGACTGCGTCGCAGTCTTATCGACGCCATT